CCCAGGAGGCACTGCACCTCCCACTTCTGCCTCTTTGCATCCGCCGTCGCAGGGGAGCGCGTCCTCGTCCTCTGCACCGCCGGCGGCCGCTGCGGCTTTGATCGACAGTCAGGTCGCCGAGTTTCAGCGGCACTTGGCTGCGCAGGCAGCCGTCAAGAAGGCCTACGGCTGCGAGTGCACGCCGGCAGCGATGCAGTCTACCGATGCGCTTTTGGATTCTGGGTCAACGTTTCACTTCACGGGCAAAGTTGGCGAGGCCGGCATTTCGCCCACGGCTGCAGTGGAGGTTGCCACGGCCACAGGCGAGTCCGCCTTCCACCAGGGCGCCACGTCGATCGGCAACTCGCAGGTGGGACTTCTGCACGCTCACTTTGCTCCTGAGGCGCCTACGTCTGCCGGCTTAGGGAAATTGATCAAGGACCTGAAGCTGGACTTCTCTTGGTCGTGGCGCGACTTCGAAAACCTCGTCCTGACAACAGTGGAAGGTGTTCCGCTAAGTGTTCATGTCGAGGTTGACTGTCCATTCTTGGCAGCATCGGCCAGAGCATGCAAATTGGGTAGCCATTGCTGCCCATCTGACGTCGCAGTGTGCTGCCCGTCATTCTCCGATAGCTCCGTAGTGGTAGATGGGGGCAATGCCCCGCGCCAGGAGCTGTGCGTGGACCAGTGTTCGTTCGGCAGCCACAACTACGCCACGGACAGCAGCCACCAGGATGAGCGCATCCACCTCAACGGCATGTTTTGCCCACCTCACAATGTGGGCCAAACCGCTTGCATTGCCCAGGTCATGGAAGATGGGGGCCGTGCCCCACGCCAGTCGGACACTCGCGAAGTACCACTCCCAGGGGTCGCGGTAGAGGGCGACGAGTCGCAGACTCTGATCATGGACAAGCCGGCTGTCGCACACCACTTCTTAGGTATCGACATCAGTTTGAGTGGGCCAGTGGGCCATTCGCGTACGTGTACTCTGTCGCAGCACAAGTACGTTCGTCACATCCTTAAGTGCTTCCTCGAGGTCAGCCCCAACCTTGTGCTGCGCAAGAAGCAGACGCCATTTCATGACTCAGTATGTGTATTGGGTATTGGCGACGGTGCTGATCAGGAGGGGTCTTATGCGAAGTTGGCAGCTCGTTTGATTGGCATGCTCTTGTATTTGATGCGGGGCACTCGGCCTGAACTTGCTGTCGGCTTATCGATGTTGGGATATTTTGTTGCGCGCTGGTCAACGCTATGCGACGTAGCCGTCATCGGCATCATGTCCTACCTCAACACCTACCCCGACGTCGTCCTTACCCTCGCAGGCGACGAGAGAGACGTCCACCACATGACCTCGGAGACGTTCGCGGACTCCGATCACGCAGGAGATAAGGAAACCAGCAACTCCATTTCAGGCGCACTGAGCTTCATTATGGGAGAGCATGGCACGAAAGCCCTCATAGCATGGTTTGCCGTGAAAATGAGATCTTCTGGTATCTCGACTGGGGAAGTGGAGGTTGCAGCAGCGTCGGTCGCACTGAGACGGTTGGCTCTTCCGCTGACTTCCGTGCTGGAGTTCGTGTTCGTGCCCGGCGGTGCGACGACCCTCACTCTGTTGCGCGGCGACGCCGAGGTGGCCGAGCACGTCTTTGCCACAGTGGGCGAAGCAAGGCCATGAGGTACTTGAGGAAGGTCCATCGCGTCAGCATCCACTTCGTCTATGACGTCTTACATCTTCCAAGGGTCTCGTACAAGCATGTGGAAGGCAGTGAGAACTGTTCGGACTTGTTGACCAAACCACTACCCAAGGACGCCCTTTTCAAGCACGTGCACTTCATGGGACTGGTTATCTTATCGGACGACAACCAGGTGATGGCCGTGGTTGCCTACAAGGCGAACAAGGGTTTCAAACAGGGTGCCCGTAGGGCGTGGGTCTCGCCGGACATGCCTCACACTCTGGAGCACATGCTCCTGCACCTTCCCATGCACCCCGACTGCGAGATTTGCCAGCTTGCAAAGATCTCGCTGACCCCGGCGCGGCGCGCAGTGAGTTCTGAGCGGGAGACCGTTTACGGCGATAGATTCTACGCCGATCTCATCGGGCCGGTGCTGCTGGACATTTCTGGCTTCAAGTACTTGCTCGTGTTGCGGGAGCTTTCGTGCACCCCATGCCCGACAAGACGGGCTCCACGGTGACGGAGGCTTACAAGGTGCTCACCGTCGGCTCCGTGATCAAGAAGGTACGGCCTGATTGGGGCTGTGAGTTCCAGGGTAGATTCGAGAAGCACTGCCGCCGAGTGGATACCCATATCGAGCGCGGTCTGCCGCGTCGTTCCACCAATTACGCGAGAGCTGAACGGTGGCATCGAACGCTCGAGGAGGGCGTGCGTGCAGACTTGTGCCAGAGCGGCCTTGGACACCAATGGTATGCCATGAGCGCCGTCCTGTGGACTGAGCATTGGAATCGCGTTGGGTGCGATGGCCGTATATATCATACTTTCACAGATTCAATCGTACGTCTGATTTGGAATTGAGGCCATTTGGTTCTTTGATCATCTATCTTAAGGACAAGCCTTCGGCGATCACCAACCTCCCAAAGTTCGAACCGCGAGGCGACTTCGGCGTGGTCGTCGGCTACGGCGCCCGGGGGAGTTTTATCATCTTGCGACTCGCTCCGTTCATCCAGGAAGGTCGCAGGTTGTTCAAGAGAACAAGGGACGTCAAGTTCCCCGCTCACGGCCCGAAGTTTCCCGTGCGTCATCTTCTCAAGAGTAGGGGGCCCGAGGTTGCATGGCATTTCCTCCTCCCGTGCGAGCAGGTCCCGGACGACGACGTGGAGCTGCACGCCCCGCACGGCGACAGGTGCGCCACCTGCTCAGGGTTCATCGCTACCGACCCCGTGACTTGCAAGGCCTGCATAGAAGGTGCGCCCAGGAAGCGGGTCACCAAGAAGGAGACGTCGGAGATCCACAGCAATGACCAGACTTGTAATCTTCGACGTTGCCATTGCGTGAGTGCTGACTCTGTTGGAACTGATGTCGTGCAGTGCCTTGTGGACCCATTACCGCCATGTGAGGAGGAGACTTCTGTGGCCGACATCGTTTTTGGCACCTTGATCGTCCCTGGCACGGTCGAGCCTGCTCCATCCATTGTTGGCCCAGACTTCCACGAGCCCGAGAATCTCGCTTCAGCCGCCGGCCATTTCAAAAAACCAGGTGGAGGAGGGAACCATATCGTCAGAGGAGGCGGTGAAGGGGTTCTGCATGGTCTACAAAGCTGTCCCTCTCAAATCCGCCTCCGCCCAGACACCGGAGGCTCAGGCCGCCATCCGGAAGGACTTGGCCACGATGGAGGAGCTCAAGGTTTGGGACCCATACGACACCGTCATGGAGCTATGGCAACTTCGTTCTCTGCATCCTGATGCTCTTGTGGTGTACGCCCATCTTCTTTTAGGCTGCAAGGACACAGAGTCTTCCGGACTCGACGTGCTTGACCCGCTGCAGGCGTACCTCCTGAAGTGGAAGGCCCGCATTGTTGCTGGAGGCGACCGTCTTCTTCACCAGTACGGCCGGCACTATAGGGAGAAGGACTTACATGGTGCACCTACCAGTCTCGAAGCTGTACGTCTGGTGTGTTGGTGGGCCACGATGTCTCCAACACACACGCTTTTGCAGGCTGATGTGACAGGCGCTTACCTGCAGTCCCAGCTCGGAGGACGGCCGGTATGGATTGTCTTACCTCCGAGCTTGTGGCCGAAATGGTGGTCCGAGAAAGGCTACAAGCAGCCCGTGTTGCGTTCACGGAAGGCTTTATACGGATTGCAGAGGTCTGGTTTTGATTGGGCCAAGAAGGCCCACAGCGTCCTTGCTGCAGCCGGCTGGACTGTCATTCCGGATGTTGTCGACGCTGTGTACATCAAGCGAGACGGCTCCAAGGTGTGCATCATGGCGTTGTACGTCGATGACATTTTGGCCAGTGGGCCGAGCGACATGTTGTCGGAAGCCTTGAACGCCATCAGAGGACATCCATGAGCTGGAGCGGCGCGTGGCGCAGGATAGGATTTGCTTGCGCAATGAGGAGGCGTGTGGTTAGTTTTTTGTTTATATATACACACATATATATATATATATATATATAAAAAAAATGACGCGCACAAATCCCAGATCATTCACGAGGAAGGTTTATCCCATGAAGTGGGATTGTTGTCTCCGCGCAGAGTTTTAAGGCCTCTGCGGGCCCGCCCGGGGATATTTGAACACGGGGGGGTCTTAACAAATCGTGGTCCCCCCCGGGCTCCCAGAGGCTCTGCGGGAGGTCTGGACCAAACGGTTACCGACCAGAGGATTCATTAACTTCAGTTTTTTCTTCCCGTGGTGTCGTTTTGTTGCGCCCATGGGGGCGGACAGATCGTGCCCCCCCCCTCCAAGGCGCACGACGCAGAATGAGCTAACGTACGCATTTTGTGCAACGAGAGAAGCACTGTAGAGTTAGCGTCTCTGGGAATGAGCGTGGCAACACCTCATTTCCGAGGTGAGTGTGGCGACACCTCACCTCGGCTGTAAAATACATCCTTGACCAATTCTTGGCTCAAGGCTCAAAGGATTGACGTACTTCAGCACACTATGCCTGAAAAACGAAAGTTCGAGACCGAAGTCACACGTTTCGAGAAACGTCTGCGTACGACCGTTCATCCACTTCTTTGCGACAGGTTGCAGATTCCTTACAACAGGAGCGAGCCATATCCAGTACCAGTCAACATCGCCATCAAACATTTGGTAAGTGTTGCCAATGGAGGGGTCCCCACAGCCGCCGACACCTTTAACAACAACCACACACTATATATATATATATATATATGTACACACTATATATATATAACCATAGTGGGGGCAGAGAGAGGGAGAGAAAGAGAGGGAGAGAGAGAAAACAACAACACAGAAAGACAGGTACTGTTACGACAACTGCGTTTGGCGAGGCGGAGGTGATGAGGGGGCGAGGAGATTCGCGAGGAGAGCGGCCCGCAGGACCCCAGAAGACCAGCCGCTTGAGGCCTCCGCGATTCACTCTTTCGAGGTTGGCGATGGTCGAGCCAGCCAGCGCTTTTTTACATCCGCTTGGTAGTCAAACGTAGAACTGCATCTGGCAGGGCCCACGAGTTCTGTGCTTGTGTTCCACCTCCGTTTCGGCTTCAGCAATTATCCAGGCAAGAGCGTCGGTCACATCCTACGGATCAGTGCTGGGTAAGGCTCATTGTCGTGCGAGAGCATGTAAAACCGCGTCTTGTGCATGCGCCCGTGTGTAGCCGTCTGCCCAGAGATGTTTCCCTGGGACGGCGATGTACGTGCCCGCGCTGGTTGATGTGCTTTATTGTTGTTTTATGCGACGGGGTGGGGCAACAGTGTCCGCTGCCCTGGAAGTGCAAGGGTCGCCGAATCGCAAACATGGATTGATGTGCATGGATCAGCGTTCGGTCCCGCTTCCATACCCAATCGGCGCTTTGCTTCGCCGACTCCGTCGGCACTTGCGCCATGCTTCAGGGAGTACTTTCCTTGATCTGGGTATCTGGCGCCCACGCGCCGAATCCCTCTCCATCGACCCCCAACGCCATGATTTGCTCACATCGTGGACTCCTCCCATTCTATGGGGCCGTCTTTTCACCCTGAGTCGGTTTTTGGCGGCCGCGGGGCCCGTTGAGGGACCCTAGAAGCTGAAGATTGCAGAAAACCTCCCGTCGTGTTTTTGTTCACGGCTCGAGGGGGTCTGTGACAGCTCAGTGGGGCCCGAGAACGGTGGGCCCTTCAGTAGGTGCCATTTTCAAACAAAATGTATCCGGAACGGGAAAACGGTAGACAAATAGCCCTGGGGAACAGGGAATGAACGGCACCAGGATTGAAACGGTCCAGGCTTCTTGGATGGGGTCGGAGTAGATGGGGCTGGAGGATCGCAACGCATCGCCGATGCATCGTCGATGCGGCTCGATGTGGAGCCCATGTTCCCCCACGCCGACGTCGCCGATGCATCGCCGACGTCGACGATGCATCGCCGGCGCATCGCCGAGACATCGCCGATACATCGCCGATGTATCGGCGATGCGGCGCGATCCTTCGATCCCATTTACTCCGACCCCATCTAGGAGGCCTCTAGAAACGGGAACTCGAGCCAGGAACGTGCCGGGAATACCTTGCGCCAGAGTGGGCAAATCAACGGCAAAGCGGAAGCGGTAACAAAAATGGCCTGTTGTTTCCAGGACAGGGGAGAGTCGATCAGATCGATCCGATTCGACATCGATTTTGGCCGGCCTGATCCGATGCGATTCCGATACGTCCCTATGACGAAAGTTTTTTCTTCTTGGGCCCGGAACGACGGGTTGAAGTTTCGAGCAGATTCTGCAGATGTGCATGAGAAAACCGCCGTCGGATCCCGGGAAGTTCGCTCGGATCCAATTGTGGCTTTGGCGTTTGCTTTGGTGGATCCGATTTCCGTCCGCTCGGATCCGATTCCCAGATTTGCTGGATCCGCGTTCGGTCTAATTTTTCACGGCGGACCCGATTTCTACACGTTGTAAAAGTATTGTGTGAAATTAAACGGGGAGCCGGAGGAAATCGGATCCGCGGACCCCAGAACCCCCCCGTGTTAAGATTCTACGGGGGAGAGGGATTCGGTCATCAGTTTCCAGGTCATCATCGCCATTTGCACCTCAATAGGCGAATTGTTCGTCCTGCGTAAGTGCGTTTCGGTCCTGCGTCTCCTGACCCAACAGACTGCCTGTGAGATGTGGTATGTTGGCTATGTGGTAACCAAGAAGTCCGAAGGCCAAAACGCCAGTGCGTTTCGGCCCTGCGTCTCCTGGCCCAACACACTGCCTGTGAGATGTGGTGCGTCGGCTATGTGGTAACCAACAAGTCCGAAGGCCAAAACGCCCTTCCCCAGGACGAAAGTTGTTTCCTCTTGGGCCCGGAACGACGACTTGAAATTTTAAGCAGACGTGCGGGAGGCAACCACCGTCGGATCCCGTGAAGTTCGCGCGGATCCAATTGTGGTTCTGGCTTTTGCTTCGGTGGATCCGATTTCCGCCCGCGCGGATCCGATTTCGGATTTGCTGGATCCGCGTTCGGTCAATTGTTTCACGGCGGACCCGATTTTTACCCCGGATCCGCGGACCCCAGAGGCCACCCGTGTAAAGATTTTACGGGGGAGGGGGTTTCGGTCATCAATTTCAAATTCATCATCGCCATTTGCACCTCAAGAGGCAAATTGTCCGTCCTGCGTAAGTGCGCTTCGCCCCTGCGTCTCCTGACCTAACAGACTGCCTGTGAGATGTGGTGCGTCGCTATGTGGTAACCAACAAGTCCGAAGGCCGAAACGCCAGTGCTTTTCGGCCCTGCGCTTCTTGACCCAATTGACTGCCTGTGAAATATGGTGTGTCGGCTATGTGGTAACCAACAAATCCGAAGGCCAAAACGCCCATCCCCTGGACGAAAGTTGTTTCCTCTTGGGCCCGGAACGACAGCTTGAAATCTTGAGCAGACGCGCGGGAGACAACCACCGTCGGATCCCGTGAAGTTCGCGCGGATCAATCTTTGGTTCTGGCTTTTGCTTCGGTGGATCCGACTTCCGTCCGCGCGGATCCGATTTCGCATTTGTTGGATCCGTGTTCGGTCTAAGTGTTTACGGCTGATCCGATTTTTACCCCGATTTAAATTCTATGTAAGAGCAAAACGGGGAACCTGAAGAAATCGGATCCGAGGACTCCAGAAGCCGCCCCAGAAGCCGCCCGTGTTAAGATTATACGGGGAAGGAGGTTTTGGTCATCAATTTTCAAGTCATCACCGCCATCTGCAACCCAAGAGGAAAATCTCTCGTCCTGCATAAATGTGTTTCGGCCCTGCGCCTCCTGACCCAACAGACCGCCTGTGAAATATGGTGTGTCGGCTATGTGGTAACCAATAAGTCCGAAGGCCAAAGCGCCAGTGCGTTTCGGCCCTGCGCTTCTTGACCCAAATGACTGCCTGTGAGATGTGGTGCGTCGGCTATGTGGTAACCAACAAGTCCGAAGGCCAAAACGCCCATCCCAAGGACGAACGTTGTTTCCTCTTGGGCCCGGGACGACGGCTTGAAGTCTTGAGCAGACGCGCATGAGGCCTTTGCCGTCGGATCCCGTGAAGTTCGCGCGGATCCAATTGAGGCTTTGGCGTTTGTTTCGGTGGATCCGACTTCCGTCCGCACGGATCCGATTTCGGATTTGCTGAAACCAAGCATGGCGATTTTGACAAGGTTCACTGTTGGGCAGCGCGCCCATTTTTCCGTACCCATTTCGGGCTTGCCAATTTGCCAGGAATCGTGGTGCGTTCCGAAGCTGGAAAACCAGCATACATTTTAATTGTCGACGGTCCGCGGATTCCTTGGATCGGCGCAGGCCCCACCCACCAAGGGCGCCTCTGGCGCCGCCCCGCGCGCGAGGGAGGGTGAGGGTGGTCCAGCGCGGATCCAAGATATCCGTCTTGAGCTCAAAGAGTTTCGGTTCGTGCAGTTTTCGAAGTCCACCTAGCACTGTGCGAGGGTAACGCGGCTCCTCCGTCGCTTCGCCTGCACCTCAGAGGAGGTACCGATACCGCTGCCCTTGCCCCGTTTTGGCCGTTTGTGGGCCTCCGGGGAGGCCCCCATCGCCACGGCTGGAATTGCTTCGAAATCCTGGTCAGCACAAACCCCTGGAGAGTTCCAGGGAGTAGCGGTATCGGTCGGCGACTATACAGGGTGCGGTTATTCTGGGGTGTAGTTTGCGATCTACGTCGTTGAGGTTTTGGGGGCACCACGTTTTCCTCGTCGGGCTTCCTCGAGGCGCAGCGGCGAACTCTGTCGAAGCCCTCGCCCGCCTTGGTGCGGGTTGCAAACCACACGCTTTGCAAACCATACCCTTCGGAGTCACCGAATCGGTATCTGTTGGCTTCCCCATCCATATCGTGGCTCCTCCGCCGCTTCGCCCGCACCTGAGCGGCCTCTCCCGTAAATGTCATCCGCTGTGACCGTTGTACTGCAGAGCGCTTTGTCGCCGAGAACATAAGGCTTTGTGGCTCCAGGTCAGGCCCCGCCTGACCAGTTGGGCGGGCGACGCAGGAAAGAAAAGGGTTCGGCCGTTCTGACTTGATAGGATTCTGGATACTCTTCCTATCAGGCAAGTCGCCGCATGTGCTTTGACATACTCAGTACGCACTGCGCGTATTCCTTTATTGAGTCGCTATGTGAGGCCTCATTCTATAAGTGGTCGATGCAACTCAATGGGGATAGCATGCGCGCAGCACTATTGCCCGTCCTCGGTTCAAAAGCAAGGGCTCGGCCGCTCAGGCATCTCTCGTGCTGAAAGCTGCCCGCGAGAAGTCGCGTACGAGAGTCCGCTCTTCTGCGCTGTGCGCCGCGCAGGGGGGCAGCGTGAGCCAGCGCGTGAGGCCCCTTCGTCTGCGTCCCCTGGTTGTCCTCTGCCCTCTCTCTCCCCTGAGACCCTCAGTTGTCTGGCCGTGCGGGTGACTTGTAGTGAAATGCGGCCTGCTTAAGCGCATGCGCCGCACCTGTGTTACCTCTCGTCGGCGCGCCGAGGGGGGAGTGAGAAGGGGCAGGGCTTCTCAGGAGGCTGCGCGGCTTCTCAGAAGCCCGCCCGCCGGCGTTCTAATAAGCCCTTTGTGGCTTCGGAGAAGGCTTCGAAAGCTTCGCGGCATGCCAGAGGCCTTCTGAGCCTTTGAGAAGTCCCGCCCCCTTTGCCTTCCCCCCTGGGCGCGCCGCACTTGTGTCAAGCACCCCGGAATTGGAAAGGCTGCGTTGTCAATTCCACGTCGACGCGTGGCCTGCAGTTCTCCCCGCCGAGAAGCCGCTCGCGTCCCTGGCTGACTCAAGCGGATGGGACTGTGGACAGCGGGAGGAGGAGGAGGAAGAGGAGGAGGAAGAAGGGTAAGGGGAAGGGGAATGGGAGTAGGTCGAGGAGGAGACGAAGGGACAGGGAGGTGGAGGAGGAGGAGGAGTGCATCTTTGGAAGGAGGATGCATGCGGTGGGAGAGGAGGGATGATGACGGCGAGGACGGAGGACTGAGATGAAGGAGGAAGAGTTGGGAGGAGGAGGGCGGAGGGAGGATGGGAAGGATGGGAAGGATGGGTCGCATGGAGGAAAAGGAGGAACGAGGAGAGAGGAGAAGGAGGAGAAGGCAGAGGAGGAGGAGGAAAACAAGGAAGGGGACTTGGAGGGAGAGGATGGGGACATGAGGGTGAAGAAGGGAAGCTCATGGTTGTCTGGCCTCAGAGATGTTGCCTCGGGTGCTTATTGGTGTGGTGCGGTTAGCTGCAATACGATTCACTTCTCTGTGCAGTTTTTGGACCATCATGAAGAGGATGGGCAGGCGGACTGGGCATTTGACGATTCCTCACGGTTCGTTCAACGATTTTGCGAAGCCTCCCAGAGTTTGCAATTTGATATCGTTCTCGGCGTGGAGCGAAAATCCAGCTTCCGCCTCACAGTTCCCACACACTTGCTCGTATTAGGAAGGTGTCTGCGTGGATCAAGTCGTTTGGAGTGTTCGCTCTGAACACGTTCCGGAACCAGTGTGCGGAAGTGGATGGATGGCACGATTGACCATAGCAGATTGTGGACAAGAGGTGTACGAAATCGGCCAGACACGAAAACCCACATTGTTTTTTGGTGTGCTACAGTTGATATACATGGGTACGCTAGGCGCTAGATCCGACCATCGTCCCGTTGTGGGTTGTCTGGGGTCGCTTCCGCCTCCAGAGGGGGAAGAGTCAACCGGCGTGCACTTTTGGGATGGCGTCCAGAGACCGATGAAGGGCTAGACCAGTTTAAACGATCTTGCACCCAAGTAGCCGGTTACGACCTAAACCTTCTCCAGAAAATATTGTTACATTCGGGGTGCGACACGAAACATACGACGTCGTTCTCTCGTAAGCGGAAGCAGAGGAGAACAACGAACAACCTGGTGAAGAAGGCGAATGCTTTGCTGGCGAATGCAACGGAGGCCGACCGACCGCACCTAGCACGGTCATTTCTGAAATTATGTAGGCGTGCCAGACGGGAACGCAACGAACGTCCTCTATCTAGGATTTCCTCCAGCCGTCAATCTGGCCAGATGTCAGTTATTCTTACCATAAACGGGGAAGATATTGCGGACAGGGAAAAATGGTGACATGCAGCCAAAGTCTTCGGCGCGACCCGCTTCCAGGACGACGAGAACACCCTCCACGTCCAGGACATGAGACTCGGGAGTTGGGCCAGGCGGGCTTCCAATGAGATTTTGCATGGCTGGCAGCCGCCTACTCTCTCCGCATGTTCTGCACTGCAAGGGCGAGCCCGCACGAAGACAGGTACGGCCGCGGGAAAAGACGGAGCCCCGCCAGAACTGTACAAAGCCTTACCCGACACGGCAATCGTCATATTTGGAGAATAGCTCAGCGTCGCTATTTGAGTATGGAGGTCCACATTCTGACCATTTGGAAGCAGATCGGCCTCTCGGGTTTGAATACAATTGTCCGTCCCTTGACGCTTTCACACTGTAGGCTCGTTCGTAAATTGAACAGTTGCCAAACATGGTGCACGCATGTTCAGAATATGTTTTACGACCATCCTTGTTTACACATCTGAATTCAAGCAGGAGTATTGCAGCGACGACATCACCTCGCTGTTCAGACAGACGATTTCCTTGGCTGGGTGGTGGGCGATGGGCTGGTGATCGGATCCCAGGACATATATATATATATATATATATTGCCCTTGACAGAGGGTGCCAAGAGCCTGTTTCCCGGGCGTTTGCCGATCGAGGGGCCCACCCGACAGTTGTGGCAGCAGTGTTTCTGGACATGTCCGGCATGCGGGGCAGCTTGTCGCTACTGAGCACGGTTGCATCAGAGGAGTTTGATAAGCAGCGAGGCGGCAAACAAGGAGGAGTAGAGACCCAGGAGGTTTCCATCGCAGTTTTGGAATGGGCACTGGAAGTTTTGACCCAGAGCTGGCACGAGCGGGGCATGGGCTTCAAGTTGGACGGCAACAAGTGCCAATGACGCATTCCCTTTGGGCAGGCCGTTTGGATCATCGCTTGCAGCACTCAGGCGTTTCTTTGCATGTGCCAGAACTCGCGGAAGTTTTCATCTCAATAGGCTTCCGCTGAGAAGAAATATTTTTGAAATGTATGCCATGTGGGATTCTACGCGACGGTGGTGCTGCAGGCCTGGGCCTCAAAGTCTGGGTAAAACCTCATCCACTAAGCAAACGGTGTGCAAGTCTCCCGTTTTGCTCGCCAATCTACCCCGACAGCGTCGACGAATGCGTCTTCCCATTCTGTCTAATGTCCCATCCCCGCGTGCACGCGCCCATCTCGGCGACGCTTGTAAGATGACTGCGTCGCCAACGCTGTTGTCCATCACTGCCGAGTCTGGAAGGTGCGAGTCATCTCCAAATCGTTCGGGAAGTGTCTATTGCAATCCGCGCTCTCCACGCGTGCTTGAAAACCTCCCGTAACAAGCGCAACTGTAAATGTACACCGTCCGTGCTCCCAAACAAAAGGTGGTTTCCGTCGAGATGTGCGTAACATGTAAAGTGTGTTTGACCCTCGTCCGGCCCACTTTTCAGATTCAACATTTGTCTGAAGGAATTGTTCTTCCCACCGCCGCGCCCGCAACAACACATGTTTGCACAAATGACACGACCAACAGTCGTAAACGGGCGAAACTGCGGGGGCACTGGACTATGCACGCAACTTGGACGCGATGGGACCTTGCCCTCTGCAAGGTTCTGCGTACTTCCAGACACATTGTTCCGCGCATTCCAATCTGTGCTCCGAATTCACCATGGTGCTTCCGTCGTTGTGAAAGTAAGAGCCCAAAGACATGAGAAGGACAATCATCCTGCATCCGTCGATCGCTGCACCCGTTGGAAACTGCACAGGCCGAGGGAGCAGGAGGATGACGACGAACAGCTCGTAGGGCCACGGCTTGCGCGCCGATCCCGGATAGATCGCCACAGCCTCGATGACTTGCCGGGCCACGCATGGCGAGGGCGCCCCGGCGATGCAGTGGGCCGGACCCCGGCTGCATCGCTGGTTCGTCACAGACTGTGAACCCATAGCGAGAGCTGTCAACGGCGACGCGGTCCTGCTGAATCCAGACCTTCCCGCCCTCTTCACCCGCATGTCCGAGAAAGTGTTTGGTATGGTGGGAAATGGTCGGATGACGAGCCAGCCGGAATTGAACCTTGTGCAATGGCGCCGGCGATGCTTCAATAGGATAGCCGACCACATTGCCAAATACACCATGGATATCCAGCGTTCATGGTGTAAGACATTTGTACTTCCTGTGGACAACGTGTCTGTGCAGAAAGCAAACTATGTCATACATACTGATGGGGTGACCCGTGCAAACAAGTGCTCATCAGCATCGTGGTACAAACCCACGTGCAGTGACCAATTGGGACAGTGCCGTAGCAAATCTGCATTGCGGGACGATCTAACAACACACCATTATAATCCATTGCGGCCGAGGCCATAGCATTGGAAGAATCACAGGACTTGTTATCGGACCTCTTGAGAACATGATCATCCGATGCTTACTTTGTAACGTCAGTAGCAGGCCAGTGTAACCGCGCATCATGCCTCGAGGGGGGTGGTCTTCCAGCCCCCGCTGCTCCCGGTTCCTTGTCCTCCAGGGGGAGGGTGGGGGACCTAGAAACCCGACGAAGTCCAGACGTTGTTTCCGGGCTGGTCTTTCCGTTTTCGTCGTCGTTCATTGACGGCCACGGGGCCCCAAGCGAGAGGGGCCCCCAGAGCCCAGAAACGGCGAGCGATAGGAGTTGTCCTGGCGTCCGGCTTCTATCGGCTGAGCAGGGCCGCGGCCGAACAACATTTGCGACCGAACGCGAGGCCGAAACTGAAACCGAAGACGTGGTGTGACCGAACTTGTGACCGAAGTTGAACAACCCCAAGAAATAGCGCGCCAGTTTCGGTCATGCGTTTGCGCGTTCTCGGGCACGCTTTCGATCATGCACCCCCAAGATAGAGACAAGGTTGCGTGATATTTGCGCAAGACGCGAGAAGGTGAGGAGAGGGAGGGTGGATGGAGGGAGGGGGAGGGCGGAGGTGAAGGCCCCCCCCACCCCGCGAGCAGCCGGTGCCCGGTGACACCGGAGTGCCCCGGCGGCGGCGGCGTTTCCCAGAGGGGGCTGCGCCGACACCCGCTTGGGCGGCGGCCGCTTTTCGCTGAGGGGCTGCGCCGACACCCGTTCGGAATGCGCTGGGCACGGCGGTCCGCAGAAGTCATCTTCGTCCGAAGTATCACACGTCCCTGCTGGGATAGACCAGGCCTCCCAGATGGGGTCAAGTAGATGGAGTCGGGGGATCGCGCGCGTCGCCTCGCCGATGCATCGGCGATGCGGCTCGATGCGGAACCCGATTTTCTCCACGCAGGCGGTGACGATGTACTGCGTTGGAGGTGCGGCACGTCTTCCGATCCCATCTACTGGTGCCACATCTGAGCGGCCTACAGATCTCATGGGCTAGCTCTCCCAGCGTACCAACCTCTATGCGGAGATTGGTGCTCAGGGGACGGCACCCATCCCCACCCAGGGGGGAGGGGGAGGTCGGCCAGCGGGGCCGAGGTTTCCCCATTTACGGCGTGGATGTTTGTGGTTTCCTAGAATATTGAAAGAGGGCCAACAATCGCATTGAAGGAGAGGGGTCCTGAGGGAATGCGGACTGGAGGTTTGTGTTGGCCGGTTTCGAGCTGCCCTCCTGTGGCTTCAAAATCGTCTCTGGATGAAACGCCGGCCCCGGGAAAGGGGTCGGGACCTCTGAGGACCTTGTATAAGAGAAAGTCCAGAGAGCGGATCTCCGATTCAGAGTGCGCCAGGACCGCGGTCCGCAAACATGAGGGCCAATAAGCAAACCCGTCGGGGGTTGGGAGGGGGACGAGAAGGGGGGGGTGGAGGCCTGGAAGTCGGCACCAACGCCAACGCGGGTGGGTGTCTCCATTTGGATGGGAGGATGAGTCTAGATGTTGGTGCTGGTGGCCATCTCTCGCCCACCCAAGAAGCTACCACCACCGCCGCCGAGATCGGGGTTATCTCCTTTCGGTGGAGACAACCGCCGGGCCTCGGGCGCCCCGTGCGCCTCCACCCCGCGGCTGAATGCCGCGGGTGGCCGCAGCGGCGCAGAAGCTCTCGGCTCGGGCCGGTGCGGCAGCGTGGCGCGGTGGGAGAGAAGGCTGAACAAACGCGCGCCCTGCGCCCCGAAATCGGCGGGCAACAACTATACATTTGCACCGATCCTGGCCAGGCCACTTCTAAGCCCAGGATCGGTGTATATGCCTTCCTGCCCCAGGCAGGAGGGCGTATGCACCGATCCTGGGTCCAGGATGATCCTTGCCAGGATGGGTGTTGGTGTATGGCTTGTGCCCCCCTGCGAACAAGCGCTCCACGTCAGCTGAACCAGGTCCCTCCAAGCCGACCGAAGGCCTCCTGTGGCCACGGCGAAACCTGTGGGTGTGGCGCCGGCGGCCTCTCCTCGGCCCTCGTGGCAACGAGGGGCGCTCCAGCGCCGCGTGGCGGGGCAGTCGCGAGGACCGCTGGGCCATTCGAGAGGGCGCGCCCTGCCCCAGGAGGAGGAGGGAGTTCCAGAAGTTCAGAGGAGGAAAAGGTACCCATACTGCTACCCTTCGGCCGTTTTCCCTTTTGTTCGGCCTCCTGGGAGGCCATCGTCGCCACCGCTGCATTCGCCTCGAAATCCTGGTCAGAACGCACCCCGGGAGAGGTCCAGGGAGTAGCGGTATCGGTACCTTTTGGTTTCCCCAGACACGGCGCGGTGACCACGCCGTCGGACCAGTCGGTGGATTCGGGGTGGCCGCATGGATGTGGGACTTGGGTCGTTCTCGGGGCATACTTCGGGCGACTGGCCTCCAAGTTCCCAAAACCGTAGGGCGACGGACCGTGCGGTGAGAACTTTCAGGGTTTCGATGTCACCGCACGGTCTGTCCCCGCACCGTGTCGGGCCACACAAGAAGAGAAGGGCCCTGAGATGCGGATGTTGCATATGCTGCATGTTTTTTGTCGCACCAACTGGACGTTTTCGCCCAGGGACCAGGAGGCCCGGGACCCTCTCGGATAAATCCGGTCCCAGGAGATGCCACAGCTCGGTGGGGCCCGATGGCCATGATTGTTCACAATGGTGGAGCATTGGAGAGGAGGAGGGGGGAAAGAGCAGGAGGAGGAGCAGGAAGAGGAGGAGGAGCAGGAGGAGGACATCATTGCCTCTTTTGCCTTTCTTGTTCTGCTATGCCTGGCCGACTTAATAATGTGTTGGCCTCTAGGCCTACGTCGGCATCTTGACGTTTTTTCTTCTGGTCTACCAAACGCTACCTGGCTTAAGTTCGCGCAGCGTCTAAAAGGAGGAGGAGGAGGAGGAGGGGGAGGACGAGGAGGATGAGGGGGAGGAGGAGGGGGATGAAGAGGGAGAGTTGGAAGGAGGAGAAGCAGGAGGAGGAGGAGGAGGAGTAGCCATTTTGGCTCAAGCTCAAGCTCAAGGAGCTCAAGGCACGCTCATGTTTTGGCCCACGCATGCCTAGGATTCTCGCCGATGGAACTCTTGTGTCGCTTCAAGTGTGGCGTGCTTCTGCCTCTCTAGGCCACCAGACTTTGCATGAAGAGGTAGCTGGCGAGCACAGGACGGACACTTCTTCGATCACATAGGCGGAAATCGATTCCTTCTTGCGTGACTCCGTGGACGAGACAGTGAATGAGGCTGGGCTGGACGCACGGGTAGCCGAGGCGGTCCGAACTGAACTGCTAGGCCGGCTCGGGCCTCTTCGGCGTCTGGTGGAACAACGAATCAATGAGCGATTGGAGCCCTTACGTAGACGTCTAGACGAAGTTCGAGAACGTCTAGAGGATAACGTCTCGCATACGCACACTGCTTCGACATTGTTTGAGCACAGACCCATCCAGGACGACAGGGGCAACCCGTTGTTCGCTTTTCAGTGGGAGGTGAGATCTCGAATTGACAGTGCAGAAGCATATAGAATACATGTTTTAGAATACCCAGAAGCGGCCTCCTTCCAGATTCTTAATGTGTGTGGACAAACTGTTGCTGTTGCTTTGCAAGAGATGCCGCTTTGGGGGTGCATTGCCAATTCGAGGCTTTCCGTACGGTCAGTTGTTGGATGTGATTGGGTATCGTGTTGCCCAGCTCGATTGTTCCACACATGTTTTGGGAGACGCATTGCAAGTGTTTCAGTGTTGTCGTTGTTCAGTGTTTTGTGTTTGCGTCGGCGCACGTGGTTGATTACGCACGCGGGCACATGACCACAAGCGACACTCTCACTGCATTGTTGGATGTACTCAGTTGTGCCAAGCTGAAGGTTCCTAGTAGGGTTCTTGATCTGGTGATTCTGATGGGCATCGATGCCAACACCTCACCTATTTGCACTCCTGGTGGATCGTCCGGGCAGCATCCCGCTCAACCTCTCAAGTCGCATACAGATCGTCAAAGATCATGCTTTGCACAGTTCATGAAGAATGCTGGCATTACTGCGTGTAACACCCACACCCCATGTGTAGGCATCAACCTCCTGCACACGAAGGTGGGCAGGAGGCGCACATCGAGAACCAAGTCCCAGATTGATTTTCTTGCTGTCTCTTTAGGTGTGACGGGGGAGGCGCGTGCGGACCACTGGCAAGCAGCGGATGCCACTGAGTTGAGAAAGTCCGACCATTTTCCTGTGCATGGCTCATTCATTCTGCCACAGTGTCTGTATTGTCCGTCTCGTTCAGAAGATGAGCAGAAGAAGAGGAAGTTGCAGAAGTGGAGCCCAGTAGCACATGAAAGGGTGAACTTTTGGGGTGCTGTTAAAAATAACTTCCGACAGGGATCCGATCTGTCATATTGTGTTTCCATTGTTCAGCAGTCTGCTTTTCAGATCCTCGAGTTGATTTCTGAGGACGATGGCATTTCGCGTTTGTGCAGAGACGATTGCGTGAATTTTGAAGCACACTTGGGGGCGCGCCAGAAGCGAAGAACCAGTGCTCTGCGCAGCGTTGGGCCTGGGATCGGTGGATTTGGCCCGAGGGGACACAACAAACATGTATTTCGGAAGTTGGCCCAAAACGAGAAAGTGATCGATGAGACTCCACTGGTGGTGCTACACTTGGGGTGTGTGACGACACGGCAGACCGATCGACATGGAAGAACTCATTGGAAAAAACTAGGCAATGATACATTTAAGGCTAATGAGGGACACGTGCATGTTTTCAGAGAGTTTGTCGAGGACAAGAGGGCAGAAGCTACGGAGAGAGCGACGCAGGGTTTGGATCTAGGCACCCTCAGTTTTGAAACGTTTGTTCAGCAGCTGACTCGTATGGCTGACCATTCCAAGCCTGGTCCGGACCATCGGCCAGGAAATGTTTGGAGGCATTAATCATTTTTCCTCAAAGTTAGATTGTCCGAGCTCTTTGTTGCGAGGATCTTGGATTCTGATTGGCTCGACTCGGTCGTCGGAACTTGGAAGAAGTTTGAACTCATTGGCATCAGGAAGAATAACTTCCCCAGAGACTTTCGAGATTTCCGCTGGTTGGGGATCATGGATCACGTTTTCAAGCTATATTGTGCGACGGTCTATGCGGCCGCTGCACCTATTCTAAGCCCACTTGGTCGGGCCAACAGCTTCGGATATCGGCGGGGGGGCACAGTGTCTGACTGTTTCGGCACACTGTTTGAGGTCCTCAGCTTTTCCGCGGAATAGGGGATGCGACTGGTCCTTCGAGCCCAAGATGTCAAAACCGCGTTCGATTCGGTGGAACATGTCGACGCCCTCGCGGTTATGAGCGAGGCGGGAGCCACGCCCCATCAAACTTTAGCTTTGGCGCGGGAGATGGAGGGCACGCAGGTGTCTTTGAAGGTTCCCGGCATCGCGCAGACAGACAAACTCCCGATGAGCCCCCAAAACCGGCGGCCAGATTGAACCCATGATCTTTGCCAGAATGTTTGTTGAGGTTTTTGGATTCAGTGGAGGGCGAGTGGGGCGTTTTGGGTTTGGGGTTCAAGCTTCCAGACAGAGAAATGCATAGCATCTGTCACTTGGGTTGATATCAACTTCATTTTGGCTCTGCCATTAAAGGAGTTTGAGTTTATGAGCCGCACGCTGACAGACGTGATTCGCACTCGGCATGGGCGGCGTTGGAAAGCCTCCTCTTTAGAGAAATGAGATTTATATGTGTATCCCCTCCTCCGGGAGACGGCTTTCGCTTTGCAGTTCAGCAGTCGCATGTGGAGTATCAAATTGTTAGTTCCATGGTTGTTCTGGGCTGGATTTCGATCCGAAGCATCTTGATCAAGCGCTGCTCCAGCACCGCTTGCTGAAGGGGGAGGCGTGCTTTCACACATTCCGCAGGCATGTGGTGGGGAAGGCGCCCGTTAGCTTGAAGATGCGAGCGTGGGCGTCGCGTCCCAGGGTTTCTGCGACTTTTCTGCTTCTGGTCATCCATTGGTCTCGCACTTTATTTTTGGAAGTGATCCGATGGGAAAGATCACGCTTACGCCGGATCTTTCGGCTCCGACGCAATCAGGACGAGGGCCCCATGGCGTGCAACAGGCGCACGCAGCGCAAGTTGGATCGATGGTTTGATGTCTGCCGCTTCAAACCTATACATGTGCTTATTCTGGAGCAGTGGTATGCCTTGTTGGCGCGTGATAGGGGATATGGGGACTTAGCTGATTCAGTCCGCCGTGAACGTGATGCAGCTTGGCGGGGCCTTGCTCGGACACACGGCTTCGCTAAACGAAAGCGTGAATCCGCAGATTTTTGTGCATGCTCAGCGGGGTGACAATCGCAGCGTGGACGACTGTCTGGTTCAGATCTGGGTGTCATCGTCACGCGTGCCCGTGGGCAGTGGGGCGTGGATTATTCGTGGCGCTGGCATGTGATGCCTTGAAAATGCCAGTCCCGCCACCTTTCTTTGCCGGCCAGACCGCGCTGGACCAGCACACGCAGTTCTGTGGGCCCGAGTTGCATGGGCCGGGAAGTCCGCTTTCCGAGTTGCCGCCGTCTCTCACTAGAGACACATTGTTCCATGCACATTCTTCTCGACGTGTGCAGTTGGAATTTGTCGTGGATACCCAGACACTGGCCGGCTTGGCAAACGCCATCGTGGAGATCGCAAGCTTGGAATTTGAAGACAACGCTGTTTTCGCTCTCTGTTCGGAGGGCGGTTTGATTACAACGACGAGTGTTCTGATCCAGTGGATTGGCGTGCTAGGGGGTGGAGTTCTGGAGCCGATGCCCTCGTCAAACACGCGACCCAAACAAAAAGTAACGGGGGCACGCTCGTGCCAAATGGAATACGTGGCAAGGTTGCGGGCGCAGTTGCGTTGCAGTTCTTCTTTGACGGTGGTTTTGTCCCAGGTGTAGGCGGGGCGCACGGCATTCAGTTGGTGGGCCATGCCGGGGGCGAGCAGCAGCCAGAGCGAGTTGTGATCGGCTACATTATTGAATTTGACCCTGATGCGAAATCAGCCGTTGAGATGGAGTTGCGTGGGTTGGAGGCAGCTCTGAAGGTACCACGGGCATATTGCGATGCACTAGAGTGAGCTCTTGACATAGCAATCTGAGTAAGGGCGCTTCCTGGAGAAAAAATGGAAAGGGGAAAGCGCTGGAGCCCGTCCAAGGAGCGCCGTCAGGGGGGGAGGGGCGGTGGGCACCCGAAAAATCCAGCTGGGAGCACATGGGGGTCCTCGAGGGTGGCCGCGGCTCGGTTGATTCGGCTGCGTCGCTGTCGACCGTACTCGGTCTGCTCAGTTCGGTCGGCTGCTGCGCCGCCACCGCATCGCTGCGCACGCATTCCCAGGCTTTGCCGCAAAGGAAAGTGGTACCGAAAGACGCGGGTCCCAAACTATCGCGAGCAGTTCTATGCACGGCCCTTCTGACCATGGAGCGCCCCAGGGGCCCGGGAACGGGAGCAACATTCAAGAGCATTCCCTTCTCTGATACCCGATGTCCAGACGTATGTTCTTTACGGGGCCCCCAGGATTCTTGACCCGAGTTGGTTCCTGACCGCCTTGTTCGCCCCATGTTGGCTCTTGACCGCCTTGTTGGACCAGGCGAGGACCGACGGAGGCCGAACGCGGAGAGGATCGTCACGCCAAAAACGTGTCCGCATCCGCGCCCCCGCGGGCCACCAGGCCGCTCGGTCGCGACCCCGCGGATGCGGGGCGTTTCTTCGCAGAGGCCCCGCGCGGAGCGTATCCGCGCGAACCCGCAAATCCAGACCGCGAGGGGGCGCGGATGCAGATACGTCCGCCGTTCGTGCGAGGGAGACCCTTCGCGCTGATGTTGTTCGAGACGTAGGACTCGTGGGGCGCCCCTCGAGGCTCACAGGCTGCATGCGGCCAGTCTGTCTTTCGGTCGGCCTCGGTCTCGCCGTCTGCCCGGTGGGTCCTCCGCCGGGCCGTCGCCGTCGCCGTGGGAGGACCCCTTGGGGAGCGGCTCTTCGCCCGCGGCGGGCGCGTCTGAGCTCCTCTGGGTCGAGAGCCCCCTCCCTCCCGGGGTCGCTCTGGCGTCTCTCGGAGGCGCGAGTTGAGGAGCGTGTTGCCCTCCCCTCCCCGGTGGCGAGTGCTACACCGCCACGACACCTCCTGCGTGGAGGCAGCAGGCCCTCGCCATGGAGTGACTGGTTGTCAGGAGGATCTCCGCCGGCTCCCTGGGGTAAGTGGTCCAGTGCAGCGAAGGCTGTGAGTGGACCGGACCGCGGGGTCCAGGGCTTGTTCGTTCGTTCGTTGGCTCGTTCGCTCCTGGAGATCTCTTGGAGCGTTCCTCGCTCCTCGCGGGGGTCCCGGGGAGGCCTCTTGTCGCCCACCATCGGCGAGACTGCCGGAATTCTAAGAAGCCCTCGCGCCTTTTTGATTATTCGGGGAAGGCTTCGAAAACTTCTCAGAAGGCCGGGGGCCTTCGGGGAAAGCCTTCTCCTTCTCACTTCCGCTCCCCTGGGACGCGCCGCCGACGCACTGGACTCCCCATCGACAAGTCTGGCCGTTCTGCTCGACCCCCTTCGCGTCGTGACCGGAAGTGCCCCTCTGAAGACTTCTGGCCACCATCTGCGTTCTCCGAGGGGTCCTGCAGGAGTCCTGCCGGGCCCCGGGGCCGGGAGCCGTCCACGACCAGTTCGGGGTTTAAACACGTGTCCGCCCTCGTTCTCCCTCCACGACTACCCACTGCACAAGCAGTTGCGAAGCGTCCTGGTTCACCTATATTCGCGGGCGATGTTTCTCCCCAAACCCCCGATTTGTTCTAGGAAAAGTGAAGCCGCTCAGAAAAGGAGGGGAACCCTGGGATACACCCCGAAGGGGCTATTCGGACGCCGCACTCCTATCGAGGATGGACGCCCCCCATCGTATATCCCAGGGTTGGGCCCCAAACTTCTGGATTCCCAGATCCCCGTCTACTGAAGCCGCCTTCCTGCTTCAGGAGTCGAGTGGTTTTCCCGTTTCCCTCCTCCTGGAGGCGGGCGGAGACCCACTCTACTTCCAACGCCTTCCTACTTCATGGTTCTACCTATTCCTTCCGACGGACGAATACTCTCCCCCCCCTCCCACTCTCGCTCCCCTCCTCCCCTCTCCTCCTCGTGGATGCGGAGAGGCGTTTGGCCTCCGGCGGCGGCTACCGCGCCAGAGCACCGTCCCGTCTGCGCAGGTCGTGCGTTGAGGCCCACAGGGCACGCCAGTTTCGGGGCGGCTGGCCACGGTCTTCAAGCTTCGATGTTCCCTGGATTCGTTGGGCTTCATCCTCATTTGCAGACTCACGCTGTCACTCAGAGGCTTGGGCTGGAACTGTACACCACCGCCTGGAACCAGAATTTGTTCCACAATTTAGTTCGCTGCGCCCCACCGTGTGGCTCAGGTGTGTCGCCATGGCGCGCCTCGGCTTCCCCGTGTCCTGGCCGCCATGCCGGAGCGTCTTGTGGAGCTCTTGCTTGTTTCTCTCCTCGTGCGTGCCAGGCTGTGCTTGGTACAGCTCGTGTCGAGTGCCAACCGCAGCTCGGCCGCGTTGGGCGTCTGGCTTTGTCTTTCTCCCTTTTTCCCTCCCTGGCGCTCCCTCATCCTCACTCTTTCCTCGTCGTTTCGCACGCGGCACGCTCGCTCATTCTTAAGGCCACGGTTCAGTGCATGCGCTTGCCTAATAATCGTAGGCCGGTTCGTGGGTGTTTTGCTCCCGGTTTGCTTGGCGACCCTCGGATTCGCACAGTCGTCGAGGTTGAGTCGGGTGGAGCTTTTGGGTCGCGCCCCTCGTCCCCCTCTCCCTCCAAAACAAAATTCTCTCCCCTGATACTGTCCAGATGATGGTCGGCCCTCTCCGCTTGCTTTTCTGTACATAGGGCTTCAAGCGTTCTTGTCCCGTACGTCTTGTTGCAATTCGTTCTCTTCGGTGTTTCGAAATTTCGTCCCTGCTGCAGCGTGGGCCTCATTTGTGCATTGGCGCTTTGCCCCCGTCGTTCTGAACGGGGCTCTCGCCCCAGCGCGGGCCACTTTTCTGGGTCCGAGTCCTTTTTTTCATCGCTGCCCCCCCTCCTCATCCCTTCTCCTCCGCCTTCTCCTGGTCCTCCTGCTCCTCCCGCTTCTTCCACTCCAGCTCTGCTGCTGCCGCTGCTGTTCGTCCTCGTCCTCCTCGTCCTCCTCCTGCTCCTTCCGCTTCCTCCTCCTCCTCCTCCTCCTCCTCCTACGCACGCAGTTCCTTTTCTCCGATTGCGCACAACACGATGAGTCTGTTTGGAGTTCCAGGTCAGCTATGACACGCTTCCGCGAATACCGGAAACATCAACGCAGTGGGAAGCGATGGGAGGGAAGGAAAGGATGTCAGATGTGGCGCAAGCGCACCTAGCTTGCCATCCCCTCTCTTCTCATCCCCCGCGGGAGGGCCTGCTCTTTTCTCCATCCTTCCACCCCGCTTCCTCCCGCTCGTCCTCCCGTTCTGAGCCCCCTTCCGTTTTGTCTTCGCCCTCCCACGCACGTGATTCGCGTGAACGTCTGATCCGAGCAGTTCTGCCTTCTGGTCCTTTTCCAGGGCCCGAACAGGCTTCGCTTCGCTTCGTTCCGCATCCACCGCACGTGCAGCCGTTTAGGCTCAGGGCACGGAGCAAACGTTCCTTCCCTCTCTCTCTCTCCCTCCCCCACCTCCCTTCTCTTTATTATTATTCTTCTTCTTCTTCTTCCTCCTTCTCCTCCTCCTCATCCTCCTCCTCCCATTCCTTTCCTCCTCGTCCTCCTCTTACTCCTCCTCCTCATCTCCCTCCCTCCCTCCTCCGTAGCCATTTTGGCTCTAGCCTGCCTCGGGCGCCAGGCGGGCGAGGTGCGCGCTTTGTCTCTCTCCGTAGAGTCCCGTCGCCTCGGCGGGCAAAGAGAGCGGCTCTGTCTCAGTCCCCTCGTCCTGCGGCCCTGGCAATGGCTACGGTCTCCTCGCCCCCGAGCGCGGGTCAGGTGGCGGCCCTCGCCCCACTGGCTCGGGCGTGGGCGGCAGGCGCGGCGGAGGGCGGAGGCGGGCGGCAGAGTGTGGCTGCGGCCGTGGCTGCTGCCCTCCGCACTGGCGCCTCCCTGCTGGGCCTGCAGCAGGACGTCCAGAAGACACCGCTCGACGAGGCGGGCGAGCAGGAGGTGGCGGCGCGGCTCCTGGCGATCGAGCGGGCGCTCTCCAGGCGCGGTCCGCCTGGACCGCAACCTCGCCGCCCACGCCGAGATTGGCAAGGGCGCCGGCGTCCTTGGCCTGCCGGTCGCGGAGAAGCGGCGCCGGCAGCGCGGCCGCAGGCGCGGGCGCAAGCAATCCGAGCTGTCCGACACGGCGGGCCCCTCGGATGAGAAAGACGAGCACCGGTCCAACCTTGTCTGCACGGACTCGGACCAGGGCTGCGACAATCCACGCTACAAGTACGGGGATGGGGACAAGGAGAAGATCGAGAAGGTGGTGCACGATACCTTCAACCTGATGGACCAGCGGACCTCCACCCTCCTGAGTTTCGAGGGCAAGCAGAAGGGGCTGGAGACCATCGACAACCCCATTCCCAACAAGGCACTCGAGACTGACCAGGCGGTGCAGGACACAGACGTTGTGCGAGAGTCGCAGCACAAGGGCGTGCTCAAGGAGTACAACTCGTCGGCTGCTTCCGCTCCCCTCGAGTGCATGAAGAACGAGCCCAGCCTGGGCAAGGGTGGCAAGAGTAAGCCCCGCGGCTCCTACGCCATGGTCAACATTGGCATGGGTAAGTCGGGCTTCGAGCCGCTTGGGCGCGTCGGCAAGGGCAAGGACAAGGGCATCGGCCTCTGATTCGCCTGCCGTTCGCACACCTGCAGATTTATAGGCTGCAGGGCATCGGCGCTAGCCACGTCAGAAGGCTATCGCTTCTGCCCTCGAGCCCTCCCTCCCTCCTTCTCTCCCTCCTTCCCTCCCTCTCCTCCCTCCCTTCCCCCCCCCCGCCCCCCGCCAAGATGGCCCCCGCAGGCCCGTGGCCCGAGTGGGACGACAGGCCGCTCGGGCCCGTGGGGCTGGGCCGCGGCAGGCCCACCCCACGAGAAGGCCCACCGCGGCCCAGGATGGTCGGCATCGCGCCAGCGTGCTTACACTGTGCGTGGCGACGCGCGTGCTCAGAAGTCGTGTACGACATGCTCGGTGGCGGGCGTTTTTTCTTGTCACAGCCGCCGGGGTAGCGATACGTTGTCGGGTGTTTGTACTGCATGCTCGGTTCGAGCGCGCCCCTCCAGCAGCAGCTCATGGTACTATGTTCTCCTGCGGCCCAGGGGCTCAGCGCTAGGCGGGGTCAGCCAATCCCATTTGGCTGGCCCCGGCTTGGGAGCCACATGGGCACATGGGGCCGATCCCTTTTAGCCCCGCCCTCCGCTGATGTAGGTATTCTAGACGCTTCGCGTATCCCCGCAAGTTAGGTTCCGCCAGTAGCTCGGGTCGACCCTTGACGCCGCCTGCGCCTTCGCTTGCGGGTGCGACCAAGCAAATCCCCACCAGCCCATCCAGAATTGATGTCCAGGCGAGTTGAGGTGATCCGGCAAGTTCGGGAGCAAAGAGGTGGACGGCCGAAGCGTGTGAAGGAGGGAGGAGGAGTAGGTTGGATGGATGGATGGGGGAGTGGGGAGAAGGAATATCCAGAGGATGATGATGAGGAGGAGGAAACAGAGAAGGAGTAGGAGGAGGAAGGAGGAGCAGGGGGAGGAGGGCAAGCAAAAGGGCCAGAGGTCTCTTGGATGCCTCTGGGAGCCTCTTAGGATGTCTCTTGGGCGCTTCTTGGATGGCTTGGGACGTCTTGGGGGTCTCTCGGCGGTCCTGGAGTCTCTTTGGCGTCTTGGGTGCCTCGGGGGGCCTCTTGGGGCCGCTTGGGGTCCTCTTGAGGGCCTCCTGGGTGCCTCTTGGGGCCATTTTGGAGCCATCTTGGGGTCATATTGGGGCCTCCTGGGCGCCTCGTGGGGCCATCTTGGATGAGATCGATACAAAAAATTGGGGAGCTTCAATTAGCCTCCCCCCTCGGGAACCGTTAGCATTTCCTCTTGGGCCCCTCCTGGAGCGCTCTTGGGGCCGTCTTGGGGCTCTCTGGGGCCTCTCTTGGAGCCCTCATGGGCCCTCTTGGAGCTGCCTGGAGGCCTCGGAAGGCCATCGGAAGCGAAAAGGCGAGCAGGCAACATTCATTGATTTTCCTACGGTTTCTACGTAGGCTTCTTGGCGGCCTCCTGGGGAGGCTCCGTGGCCGCTCGGAGCCGTTTTGAAGCGGTCTTCGGGCCTCTTGGACCATCTTTGGAGCCATCTTGACGCATCTTGAGGTATCTTGGGCAATCTCGGAGGTCATCTTGGGCTCTCTGAGGCCCTCTTGGAGCCATCTTGGACCATCTTGGCCGTTCCAACGACCCGCGACCGCACCCCCTCCAGGTCCAGGGAAGGGGGGAAAAGGGAGGGGTAGACCCCTCCCCGAAGGTGAAGAGGGAGGGGTGGCAGAGGAAACTCTCTAAACCAACTACGCCCAGAGGGCTGGTGGGATTGGAGCTGCTTCGTGGTCGGCCTCCTGGGTTTGCGACGTGGCCCTGGCTGACCAGGGTTTGCGCTGACCCGCGTTAGGCGTTAGTGCGTCCCCGACCCAGGAGGGGACGGGACGGAGCGCAAGCCCAGACCCCCTCGAGTCGTGCAAGAAACGACGGAAGGTGACGCAAGGTTTTGGGCCACCCAGTGACCAGGCCCGTCCAGGACCGTCAATCAATGACGACGTTGTGAACAGATCGTGGCGGCGGGGGTCTGAGGAGGTGGAGGGGGAATGGGACGGGATGGCAAGAGGGGGAGGATCAGGGGCAACGTTAGGACCGCCATGGGGCCATAGGGCAAACCGCCCATTCATCGCCAGCAGGTGCATGATAGATAACCCCGCCTAGGACCCTCCGGATGTCGTGGGCCTATCGCCGATCGATTGGCGATGTGGCGCCTATTCCAGCTCGATGTTTCCACCCCTGAGCCGGTCCCCCTTAATGAACGTTTCCCCTCCAGGGAGGGGGGGTCGACGACAGGACAGTCGCACAGAGATCAGTTGTCGGAGGTCCGCCCAGATCATGTGGGAGCGGCGCAGGACCCCCTGGCGACGCCTCCAGCGCCGATCCGAGAAGCCCACGCGCAGCTCCGACGGCTCATGTGATGCCGCTTTTGCTTACCCGAGGGAGGGAGGGAGGAGCTCCCGCGGGGCGACAGGCCGCTCGCCCCCGTCGACTGGGCCGCGGCGGGCCCCCTGGAGCCGTTCCGCAGGGTCTTCTACCAGCCGGGCGCTGGCAGACCCGGGCCTCCGGCGTGCCCGGGAGCCCGACCACTCAAGCAGTGGCGAAGCGTCCTGGCGGGCCCGTAGACCCATCAGACAGCGTCCTAAGAACTTGTTGAGGTTTCGACGAGATGCTCTTAGAACCTTTCTGGCTCGGACTGTCTTGTTTCAGTACGTCGGGTTTGCGTTCCTAGAAGTTTGTTTTGGGTTGAAATCGTTCTCGAGTTCTCAGAACATGTCGTGGTAGGCCTATCGGAATGCCGCAACGGTCGGTCTCTGCTCAAACATGACCCAAGCTCGGCCGAACTTGGCGGGAGCGCGCTGGGACTGAGCACATCAATATTTTGCATGCCTGGGAAAGTCTGGATGTCTAAATGTTCCTAGCACCCTGGTCAGGGTGCACCTCCGCAGAGGTGTAACCGCGGTTAATGCAGCATCGGTGCTGGTGTATCTTTGGTCGAAATCCAGCCCAATTCGGCCTAATCATGTTTGATCCGCTGCAGTCTCCCTTGATCTGGTTGCGTCTTGGGCCCAGTCCAGCTCAATGGCCCCCTGATCGGGCTTCACAATAGCCTTCGATGGTTCCCACGAAGGCGGCCCGGGAATCGCCCCCTATGGCCCAGAAGGGTCGGACTCAGACATGCGATGTCCAGTTTTCTTTTGATGCGGGGTCCCTGGAAGTCTCGACCCTTTACCCAGGGCCACTTTTTCATCCCGAGCCGTGTTTTGTCACGACTCGAGGGGGTGTGGGTCATCGGACGTCTATTTGCGCCACGACGGATCAGGGAGAGTTGAAACAACGGCAACTCAGACTCGATCCCCAGACCCTTCCCGGGATCAAAACGCACAAGTTTCCCGAGCTTCGTCCAGCCGTGGCGATGCGGGGCATCCCCAGAGGCCGACAACGGCCCAACACCTCCCGTGGTGTTTTTTCCGACGACCGCGAGCAATCCCGTCTTCAGAGTGCATTGGCGTCGCGCTGGCGTCCAGCAATCGATGGGGAAGGCGCCGATTCAGCGTCGATTCAGCGTCGATTCGCGACAGCCAGCAGGATTATGATCCTGGAGGCCTCGCGCGGCGCGCAATACTTGTATTATCTAGTCCATACGTCCATACGTCAGCTCCGTAATCCGTAAGCTATGTTATGGGTCGACGCTCGCGCGGCGATGCTCCGGCGTCAGTCCGATGCAAATCCGACGTAATTCCGACGTAGTCCGACGTAAATCCGATGTGGATCCGAAGTAAGTCGGGTCTCAAGCTGCCGCGCAAGGCCTCCAGGATGTTCCTCAAAACCAGGATGGCATGGGGAGGCCCCCGTGAGTTGCCACAAGGGGGGCTGGCAGCGCCCGGGCTCAGCCGCCGCAGCGGAGGCCGCCCCCGCCGCCGCGGGGGGCGGGTCACGCCGCCTGTCGCGCGAGGACTCGGGCGGCGCGCCTTCCTCGGGGGGCCTCGGCCCCGAGAGCTCCGAATGTCCGAGATGGAGGGGGTTCCATGTGAGCCCGCAGTGTCTTCACGCCAGGCCTTGTTGCCCGGGTTCGAGCCCAGGGGCCCTCACAGCGAATGCGGCGCGATCCTCGGGCCCCAGCTACTTCGACCCCATCTGGGAGGCCCAAGGGTCTCACCCCTGCACGCATCGCCCAGGGGACGACGACCGCCTCTGCTCCAACAGCAAAACAAAACACGGGTACGGGCACAGGGGCCTCGCGGCCTCCCACCGTGGCTCCCCGCCACCCCTCCTGCGCAACTGTGCGGGGCTGTCTCCCGGGTCTTTGTCGCCAGGGCACCATTTTGGCTGCAGCGCCAGGTGCACATCGTTGGGAGGATGCATCCCCTGGGAGGTACGACGACGACGAACCCGCCCGCGCAACTGTGCAGGGCTGTGCGGGGTCTTTGCTGCCAGAGCACCGCTCTGTCTGCAACGCCAGGTGCGGGTAACTGTGAAGAGGCCGTTCTTGGGATCGAATAACAAAAAACGCCACACACATAAGCCTTTGGCGCTCCGCGCGGATGTCTTGGATCCGCGCTGGCCCCCCCGGCGGCGCCTCCAGCGCCGCCAACGGCCGCGCGCCAGGGAAGGGGGTCAGCACAGACGCAAGAAATCCGCGCGGAGCGCCAAAAGTTTATGTTTATGCAGTTTTTCTTTTCCTTTCCTTTGAGGTTCAATTCCGCAGCAGCGCTGGTGTACCCGTGGTCGAAACAAGTCGATTCCGGTACGATTCCGTTCAGTTTTGCTTGAATCCCCTTGCATCCAGCTTGGTTTTTGGGCCCAATCCAGTTCAGCTCAATTCTATTCAATGGCCAGTCTATCGGCCTCGGGCCCAGCAGCGGTTAATCTACCAGTTTGAAACATATCCCTATCCCTATGTTTGACACATCACCTCACCTCGATGTCGATCTTAAGGATTCCCTCAGTTTCTGAGGGCCTATCCCTAAGATTGTCCTCGCTTTTTGCTCGCCCATCTTAGGGATAGGGATAAGGTCGAAGCTGGTTATTAATGGCCCCCCAATGCGGCTCAGTAGCCCTTCGTTTCCGTTCTTACGAAGACTTCCGGAAGCTCCCCCTGATAGTCGGCGCCGCCCTCCTGAAGAGGAACCTCTGGACGTGGACCCCCCGGAGGTCTCGAACCATTCCCAGGGAGGCAGGCAGGAAGAAGCCGCGCCTAGACGGCGCATCGGCAGAGCAACTACAAAAGGCCAGGCAAAGTCATGCGGGGACAATTCCGAGCTGAATGCAAAGGCGCCAGAACGCAGCCACTGCATATTACAGTGGTGGGCGGCGGTTGGAATTACACCAGCACAGCATGCAAGACGGAGGAGGGGAAAGGTGGGAGGGGGGGAGGGAAGGCGAGAGGGGGAGAAGAGAACAAATTGACAACTATAGTCACAATGATCGGCAATAGCGTCGGGCAGCTGCTTCCCACTGGGCTGCTGGAGTTTTCAGTAGGTTCTGTAATCTATTGGGGTCGTCGCCCGCTAGGCTCAAGGCTCGCGCGTGCATATATGCAGCCCACAGTAAACGGGGTCTTCCGCGCTTGCGAGAGGAATGCCAGTCCTTTGGCAATATACTATAGACTCGGCCTTCCTCAAAAACCATGCGCCTAGGTAGAGTGTTCGGGTGGGCTCTTGCCAGCTTGCCGTAAAAATCCAACTGGTTTTGTAAGAGAGCGGCTGAAAGAGGGCGGGAGCCTGCGGTTGACCTCACATCTGCGTTGCTCACTCGAGAAACGAAGGCCGGGAGGGTTTTTTAGATCCTGCGGAGGCAACGCGCTTGGAACCCATCGAGCCTTCCCCTTTCAGCAGCCAATACCACACACGATTCCAAACCATAGAGCAGTTTGGAGAAGATACATGTTTCCAATATGTGTATCTTCCGTCGCCGGGTTACGTTCGCATGGTTCCATACAGCACTGAGTTGTTGAAAAGCACTCTTGGCTTCCCCCAGGCGCCTTGTCAATTCGGCTGTGGTATTCCCATCCACGCTTAAAAAGCCATCCCAATAGATTGCGTGATCTTTGCATTGAATTGGCTCTCCACCAGGCCCAAGAATGACCGCTGAAGACCTCGTTTGTAATAGTACGGTTTTACCCACGTTGAGCTCCAATCCGAAAGTTTTTCCAATCTGTGCCACGATATTCAGATGACGCTGGAGGCGCGCCGCGTCTTCAGATACCAACACTGTGTCGTCTGCGTACAAGATGTCCTCTGTGATGACGTACGGTTTGCGGTTTCCTTTCGGCACGTCTGCGTTCCTCTCGGCGTCCGCAGCCTCTATCAGAACCGACATCACGATGATGAACAACTACGGCGATAGTGGGCAGCCTTGTGCTATGCCTGCATTTTGAGTGAGGTCGCTGAGAGGACTTGTCCTGCCTATCTTTGACCACAAACTTGCGTGCCGTGTATCTTGCTTGAACCATATCCATGGTAGCTGTGGGGATTCCAAACTGGCGTAAAGCGTGTAGTAAACCAGCAGGCTTGATGCGGTCGAAAGATTTTCCAATCCAACAATACAATCAATAACTTCCCATGCTTGTCCTGCAATCTGGCGTCGTTGACTCGGCGAGCCAAGAATAATGCATCTGCTGTGCCGCGTCCTGGTCTGAATCCATACTGCGACTCCCAAAGGCGCTGTTCTACTCCTCCTGTTTTGAGTCTCTGCAGCAAAATGCTCGCCAATACTTTAATCCAACGGCCAAGAGGGAGATAGGGCGAAAATTGCTTGGTTGCGACGTGCCCCCCTTTTTGAAAAGCGTCACAATGGAAGCCTCCCGCCATTCTTCTGGAATTTGCTTTTGTTGCCAACAAGTGTCGCAAAGCTCCCGGATGATGTCCAGCGCGTCGCCGTTTGACCATATTGCGCGCCACAAGTCTGGAGGCACGCCGTCGTTCCCAGCTGCTCTCTGAACCCGTAGAAACTTGACTGCCCAGCGTACCTCTTCCAATGTGGCGGGTCCAGTATACATATGTAGAAGTGCGACATTGTTGTCAAGATCTCGGAGCTCTTCGGGACCTTCGTATAATTTCCCTTGCTCCTCTTCCAGATAATCTGCCATTGTCTCTGCTTTCTTCTTTGCGTCGATCAAATTCCCATGTTTATCTCGTAATCGTCCGTGGCGCGGTGTTTGTTTTTTTTTTTTTCTGGAGAGAAAGGACGGCTTGCCAACCTCCGTTTTCAATCGTTTCGCCTAGCCATTGTTTCTCATCAGCCCGCGCAGATATATGTACTTATTTGTTGATTGCCTTTACTTCTCCGTGACTGCTCCGCACTCTTTTTTTTTTTTTTTGTTTTTTCATTTTTTTGCTCAATCAATATCAGAGTACGTGATGAAATCCATGGCCTGTGAGGCGTGGCTGAGAGAAGCGGAACGTGATCCGAAGCATAATCCATCATACAGTGAGTCATAGTTGTTGCTTTATGTTGTACTGAATATTAAGGTTGCGTATGTTCCCAGTTGTTGATGAAGCCGTCCATGTATTTCTTGGCTATTGGCTCGCTTTGCAGAGACTTCCAATCGTATCGCAGAGGTCGCCGGGCACGTTCAACGATAGGAATGACAATGTTCATATCGACAACGCACAATAAATGATGGGATTGCAATGCAGGCTCCCACTCACTCCAGTTAAGCCCGATATTTGAAAGCCAGTTGTTGTCAACGATGACGTGGTCGAGTTGCTCGAACTTGCCCGGCACTATTGGGTCCACAGGGTTCGTGCCAATGTCGTAAAACGTAATATTGTGCTCCGGCGGTGTGTCGAAAAAGGTGTTTGCGATGCATGTGCCTGTTGATGTGCAGAATTCGATAAGAAGTTCTCTGTTGAGGAGTGGGTCCCACTTGCTTCTCGCATTACGAAACACATACTTCCCCAGAACAGTGTCCTCGCCAGCGAATCTCTCCAAGAGCCTTGCGTTGAAATCTCCAAGTAAGAATGTTGGTCCGTTGGACTGGCATTCACGACACATGTGTTCCACATCGGAAAAGAAATCGCTTCGTATCTCGTAAGCGTACACATATGTTCAAGCATATACCGTAATCAATGTGAGTACACCAGTTACTCGAATACGTAAGCTGGCAACGCGATTGTTGAACTTTGTATATCCCTTTATTGACTGTCTTGCCCATGGTGCGACGATGAAGCCAACGCCAGCATATTCTCGTTGATCTTTTTCTGACCCAGATCAGATAGCGAAGTGGCCTTCGAATTCGAACGCCTCGGAACCGCAACAATGTGTCTTTTGAAGACAAAGAATTGCGATATCCAAATCACGCATGTGCTTGATGAGCTCAAAAAGCTTGTGCGGACTGCTTTTGGTAATGCCTTCGACATTCCATGTTGCAATTCTGCCGCACTCCATGGACCAGCATGGGAGTGTTACCCACTCGCCCACCCGAGCTCTCCCTGAAGTGCCGATGCGTCGCCGTGACCCCCAATGTGTACTCAACCCGCCGCCTTTCTTCCCCTTTCCCACTGCTGTTTGATGCCCGGTTGAGCTTGTCGTTGGCGCGTGTGGTGAGGTATTCTTCTTCGGAATTCTTCGTAAGGTTCATCCCAGTTGCTCTAAGCTCCTTTCCAAGATAGTTCTAAAGAATTGTTGGCAAAGCGCACTGCTACCACTGGGTCATTGGCATTTTTCAGCACGTAGTTGTCCGTGTCAACACGTAATTCGGCTTTCGAGTGCCTCCATTGCATAAATTGCTTGCGAAGACCAAATAGGAAACTCTCCGGCACGCGTTTCTCTATCGGTTGATCGGCACGTGCCCAAACAATATTATCAGCATGTTTCATTTGTGTTTTGACATATGTGTTGACGAATTTGTCCCTGGCGGCGATCGTGGCGCATTTTATGAAGACAATGCTGTTGAATTCGCCCTTTACGAATATGTCGACGTACTGTGGCACTTGGACGCGGCCGAATTGTTCTTTCAAGAACGTCACGGCCGTATCGGAGTCCGAGCAATTACCCAAGCCGCCAATGACTGCGTTACACTCCCGGTTATCCCCCCTCAGGTTCGCAATTTGTTTCTCCAGTTCCGAGAGTTTGTTCTCGATCTCGGCGGTGAGATTGGGTGTTGCCGCGGATGCCATCGAAGGGGACCTCGTACCGGACTGTTCCAAGATGTCCATACATTCGGAACATTTCTACATGTCATGTTTGATCGGGTCTAGGGTTTTGTTCAGTTCACTCCTGGATATGGCGTGCTGTTTGAAGGCTTCGATGTCCTTGTGAATGGGGGTCAGGTACTGCTTAAACATGCCCTCGATTGCGGGCATGCTGACTCCCCCCGTGGCACGTCCAGATGTTTCTCCTCCTCCCCCGACCCATTCCCAGAGGCGAGTTTTTGATCCCGAGCTGCTTTGCGACGGTCCCAGGGCCCGTTCAGGGCCCCCCGAGGCCGAACATGGCCGAACACCACCTCCCCGATCGTTTTCTTATTCGTTGTTTTGCCGACTGGCGCGGGTCCTCGCACCCCTTCCCCCTTCTGGAGTAGATCCTGGCTGTTTTTGGCGTCTGTTTCAAGTGGGTGGAGTCTCGAGTCTCTCCCACAGGACGCACTGTTGCAAACTGTCGCATTCAGCAAGAGGTTAGACCCCCCCTCCCCCCCCTTTTCCGCCCAATGTTTCAAACGCCGAAAAAGACAACGCTCACTACTTTCCCACGATCCGACCCCAAGGGGTCAAGCCTGCGGCGCCCTCCCCCCCCTCCGCCCAATGACGCAACGCCGAACAAGACGAGCGTCCCTTGCTTTCCCACGACCCCGTGGGGTCGAGCCTGCAGCGCCCTCCCGAGGAGGAACCTCTGGCTGCTGCAGCGGCGGCGCCACCTCCATGGGCGCGCCGCGCGGCCGCTGTGCGGGCCCGGCGGCACCACCCGCCGCCCGCGCCGCGCCCTGCCGCCCAGGGCCGCGCCGGCGCGCGGCCGGGGAGAGGCGCCCGCCGCGTCGCGGCGCGGCTGCCCCGGGCCGGAGCTGGGGCAGCTGCGGGAGCTCGGGAAGTGTTGCTTGACGGGGGGGGGATCCATCGAAGGGGAGCAGCGGCACAGGCACAAACTTTGGGCGCCCCGCGCGGGTTTTCTTGGATTTGTGCTGGGCCCCCCTGGCGGCGCCTCCGGCGCCGCCCCTGGCGCGCGGAGCGTGCCAGGGAGGGGCACGGCATTTGTGGTAGCTCAGTGGCCTCACCATTGCGTCGCCGAGTCTGTCATCGTGCTGCTGTGTCCGCTCCCCCCTCCCCTCCAAAATTGCGTTGGGAAAAAACAATGTTTCTGTTGTTGCTCCCTTCCGAGGGGGGTGCAGAAGGGTGCACACTTGTGCCTTGAAGTTGCCCCAAGCAAGGGAGGCGCTGTCGAATGGAATCGGTCCGCAAGTCGATGTACGCAGAAGAATATATATATATATATATATATATATATATATATATATATATTGGTGTCTGGGCGACGGAAATTTGGCATGCAGAATTGTTTTCAGAAAGCTTGCACGTAGCCCTCGACCTGCGCACCCCATTCCCCTGGTCTCGAACAGCGACGTCACATGGTCTGAAGGGGCACACTGGGGCTCAGAAGGGGCACGACAGGTGTAATTACGCTTCTCCTCTTCCCTCCCCTCCCAATTTACCGCCCCCCCGTCAAGCAACGCCCGAGGAGCAGCTAGAGATCCGCGTCGAGGAGCAGTGGAGGCAAAGGTATCGATACCGGTACCCTGTGGAGCTGGCTGGGGGCCTGAGATGGCCCAGCCGTGGTTCCAGCGAGCAGGAAGGAGGGGCGAGGTTCGAGGTTCTGCGCTCGAGCAGGTTCTTTGTTCTTTTCTGTCTCCTGTGGCTGTCTTCGGGCCCCGGGACCATCAAAGCCTTGCATGGGGTGAAAAATGGTTGTCAGATTATCTTGGCGCCCATCCAGTTCGGACCGCTGGGCTCTGGCTACCCTTGTCTCATTGTCGCCTTTTGGGGCCTCCTGGAGTTTTTTATCTCCTGGCGGTGCCTGGCGTCATTGGGGAGGGAGGGGACAGGCCACGTCACGATTCGCGTCGGCGCTGGAGCCGCCTGGGAATGCCGATAGGGATCGATCATTCCCAGACGGCGCCGGCGCGACGCGTGACGTGACCAGGGACGAGGGAAGGGGTGGCGGGCGGGGCCGGTGGTCACGGGCGTTGTATCGGGAATGACAAATTGGGTTTTTATCGCTACCCTTTGCCTCGTTGTCCCCTTTTTGCGCGTCCTGCAAGGCCCTCGTCACCACCCCTGGATTCGCCTTGAAGTTCTGGTCAGAACGCACCCTCGGGGAGAGGTCTGGGGAGTAGCGCTATCGGTACAGTTTGGCCTTCCTTGAGGAGGACCCCACCGGGGATTGCCCCGCGCCGGCGAACAGCGGAGGGCAATTATATGCACCACGGACTTCCGATGGTAACGTTAACGGGGATGGGCTCTGGGGGGGATGCATCGACGCCCAATCGCCGATCCAGAGCCAATATGGGTCCGGACAGCCCACCCCGCCCAGGAACGTGCAGATTCGCTATCGCGGGCCCATCGCCGAACAATCGGCAATGCATTGCCGTGTCCAGGTCGAGGCGTTCCCCCTTGAGACAGGCCTCCCTGCCTTGCCTGGCCAGGGACATCCTGGGCCTCCTTTAGAGGAGCAAGGCGGCATGATATGTTGGTTCCTGGATTTCCCAGATGTCCCGCGCCAGTGTCTCCGTTTCAGGACGAGGATTGTTTTGTGCCAGGACCGCCTGCCGATCCCCCCAGTCTCGTTCCACTCAGTGACATCGGTGATTACCGAACAAAACAAGAGGTTCTAGATTTCCTATTCGTCCGCGCGATCTCCAGAAACGAGGGCCGCTAGATAGTGAGCCAATCGCATCGTGACATGGTTCTCGCCCCAAGGAGGGCCCATGCTCCACGCTGGGGCCTAGGACGCCCCTCGTATGGCGGCGCGGTGATGTAATCATGGTGCGTTCGCGTGGTGTCGGCCCTGGGGCCCTGCAGCCACCCCAGCGCGGGCGCTCAAGGTGGAGCGCCGCCAGTGCGCAATAATCGGCCAGTGTCGACCGATCGGAGCTGTCGGGAGGCCGCGATGGTCCCCGGTTGAGCGATCCACGCGGTGTCAGAAGCGCACGCCGACGCCGTCACAGCACGAACCCGCAGGACACCCCGCCGGGGGCCTGGGGCCCAGGACGAGCCCTGGCCAAGCACGGACCCAGACCCCCGACGCCATGAGTTCTGTTTAACTTCGACGGCGCCGCCTCGACCTATTCCCCAGGATTGGTTGTTGTCCCGGGTCATTTGGTTAGCGGGGCGCAGGGCCCCGCGGGCCCCGAGACCGAGAACGGCGGGATGCTTCCCGGCGTGGTTCCGTCACGGCGCCAGCATGTCGGGGTGCAAGTGCTTTCCGCGCAGGTGAGCAGCTTCGAGGAGCTGGGCGCGCTGCCGGAGTACGCCCTGGCGGCCCTCCGGGAGCACAAGATCATCAGGCAGGGATGGACGAAGTTGTGGTTTTGGCAATATCGTGGGTCGTTTTCGTTTCTCTTAGTGCTCGTTATGACTTCGGATCTGAGCCAAAACGTGTTTTTGTTGTTCAGTCGGTCGGACCACGTTCGCTTCAAAAGCGCCTGAAACGAAAACGAAACGGAAGCGCACAAACTTGTTTTGGTCGACCCTTGTCGCCGGGCCAGGCCGATGGCGGTCCGTCCGACTGCCCAGACCAGCGTTTTGGCACACATCCGAAGTCTTGACTGGCCAAAGGTGGGCCCTAGAACGGAAGCACAACGAAAACGAAGAGAAAACGCAACACGTTCCCTGTCGCCAGGCCGATGCCGATCCAGGCGCAGGCGCTGCCGCTCGTGCTTTCGGGCAGGGACGTGGTCGGCATCGCGCAGACCGGTAGCGGGAAGACCCTGGCGTTCCTGCTGCCCGCCGTGGCGCACATCGAGGCCCCGATGGCGTCTTCAGCACAGTATCAGGGTCTCGGGGGAGGGCGAGTGGCGACAGCGGTACGTGGCCTTCGGGGGCCCCCCTCTTCGCAACGGTTGGACGCAGTTCTGAAATTTTGTGCGTTTGGACTCCAGGAGGGGTCGGAGGACCGATTTTGAGCTGCCGATGTCTCATCTCGCCCTGCTTCGTCGTGGCGCCCATAGGGAGGCCCAAGGGGGATCCTCGGCCATTTTCGGGGTTCGGGGGGCCCTCGCCGAGCCCTGGGACAGTGAGAAGCCGACGTCGGATGAAAAACTGGTCCCGGTCGAGACCTTCAGGGACCAACGCTGTGAAACATCATGATGTCGGAAAGAGTGTGTTCTACCGCTGCTGGCATAAACCAGAGGGGGGTCGCTGGGGAGTTCCAGCCCGCCCCCCCCCCCCTCGAAAACCGGGGGGGGCCACTGGGGACAAGCCCCCCCCCCCGGTCCATGATGAAAAGGTGGGGGGGGGGTCACCGTTGGTGGTTCGACCCCCCCCCTGGAAAACCGGGCGTGTCACTACCAGTTCGACCCCCCCCATCGCCGCAAAGATTCCCCCTCTTCCCGCCCTCCCGATTGGGGATTGGTGGGGACAGTGGTTGGGACGGTGGTGGGGATGCTGGTGGGGACTGCGGACAGTGGGGCAGTGGTGGGGACAGTGGGGAGAGTGGGACCGTGGTGGGGACACTGGCGGAAACAGTGGGGACAGGAGACCATTTCTTTATTGCTTGGGGCATGACGGGCGTCTTGGCCCCCGCCCCCCCCCCAATGACGTAACGCTCCCCCCCCGTGCGCTCCGGACACTGCCGCCGTGCGTATTGGGATCCGCGCAGGTGTCCGCGTAGGAATACGCATAGGAGTCTGGTCCGCAGTCGTCGTCGTCGACGTCGTCGTTGTCGTCGTCGTCGCTCGCGGCTCGTGGCTCGTCGCTCGTCGCTCATCGTCGTCGTTCGCGCGGACGCGGCTGCAGCTTGTTTTGTAATTCCGGGCCGATGACGGCAATCATCTGGGGGGGTTGAAACGGGGTCGATGACGTCACGCTTCGCGCCGGCGGCGCCTGGGAATGCTTAGGGATGACGGAGGACGGGTGGCACCAGCATGTAGGTGGCGATCTGCACCATAACGCCTGCGTGCACCTCAGTGCCTGCGTGCACCGCAGCGCTTGTGTACACCACACCGCCTATGTACACCACAGCAGCCGCGTGCAGTACAGTGTCAGTTTGTGCCACCGCGCGCGCGGGCGCAACAGATCTTGTGTGCACCACAGCGCCTGCGTACACCACATAAGCCGTGTGCAACACAGCAGTGTACACCACAATGCCTGCGTGCATTGCAGTGCCTGTGTGCACCACGGTGCTTGCGTGCACCACAACAGCCGTGAGCAACACAACACCGCTGTTGTATGTAGAATGTTTGAAGGAATCAATATGACAAAATGGAGCGTTTGTGGATTCCACCGAGAACACCGTAACATATTCCTTATGGGCAAGGGAACGCCAAAAGAATCTACGAGTCCTTCCGATTCGCCCGCGCTACCGTAATTCCTCCCATCTGTGTCCACAAGGCTCAAGCTAAATTGGCCGTCCGAGAACCAAGTGGGCCGATTCAATCGACCATTTTGCGGTGCACGCTGAATTGCGCACGTGTGCTGCAGCGCCAACCTGCACGACAGGGGGTAAGGAGGAGGAGGAGGAGGAGGAGGAGGAGGAGGAGGAGGAGGGGGAAGAGGAGGAGGAGGAGGAGGGGGAGGAGGAAGAGGAAGAGAAAAACGAGGAGGAGGAGGAGGAGGGGGAGGAGGGGGAGGAGGAGGTGGAAGTGGAGGAGAAGGGAAGAGAGAAAAACGTCGCATCCGATTATCAGCACTTTCTTGGCGTGGCGCTTCCGCAGCAGATCCTCACGCACACGCTCCTTCGACTTGTCCTATGCACGCAGGCAGCGGGGTTCAAAAGCGTTGAGTTGCACGCGGATGCTGTGGTGTAGACACGCGCCGTCGCGTGCACAGACGCCGTGGTGCACGCAAGCACTGTGGTGTACACAGGCGCTGCGTTGCACATGGTTGGTTCTGGTGTGCACACGTACACCGGCGTTGTAGTGTACGCAAGCACTGCAGTCTACACAGGCGCGGCGTTGCACACGGTTGTTGCGATGTACGCAGGCGTTGTGGTGTACACGCGGGTTGTGGTGCACGCGAGCGTCGTGGCGTACACAGGCGCAGGGGGGCAGATCGCCACGTACATGCTGGTCGCGTCGTCGTCGTCGTCGCTTGTCGCTCGTCGCGTCGTGCACGTGGGCGCGGCTGTGGTGCCGGAGCCACACGGCAGGGGGGGGGGGGGGCGTTACGTCATACACCCTCGCGCCCCCCCCCAATGACGCCCGTCATAGCCGAGCGTAAAGAAACGCTCTCCAGTGCGACAGTGGTGGGGGCACTGGTGGGGACAATGGGGATGGTGGTGCGGACTGTGGGGACACTGGGATAGTGGTGGGGACAGTGGACAGTGGTAGGGACGGTGGTGGTGGTGGGGACAGCAGTGGGACAGTGGTGGGGACGGTGGTGGTGGTGGTGGTGGTGGGGGCAGTGGTGAGAGCGGTGGTGAGGAGGGTCGTGGGACAGTGGTACAGTGGGGAGAGTTGTGGGGACAGTGGGACAGTGGTGGGGACATCCGATCGATAACGTTAGGGGTCGCTTCCCGGAGCTCTGTTCGCCACCGTGAAAGAAAGAAAGAAAGAAAGAAAGAAAGAAAGAAAGACAGTGGGGGGGACAGCATGGACAGTGCGACAGTGGTGGGGGCGGTGGTGGGGACAGTGGGAACAGTGGTGGGAACAGTGTGGACAGTGGTGGGGACAGCGGGGACGGGGGGACAGTGGGGGGGACGGTAGTGGTGGGGACAGTGGTGAGGGCAGGGGTGAGGACGGTGGTGGAGCCATGGGGCAGTGGGACAGTGGGGACAGTGGTGGGGACAGTGGGAGAGTGGTGGGAACAGTGGGACAGATCAGTGGGACAGCGGTGGGGTTAGTGGGGACAGTAGAACAGTGGTGGGGACAAGTGGGGACAGTGGGACAGTGGTGGGGACAGTGGGACACTGGCGGGGACACTGGCGGGGACAGTGCGGACAGTGCGAGAATGGTGGGGGCGTTGGTGGGGATTGGGGACAGTGGTGGGAACAGTGGGACAGTGGTGGGGACGGTGGTGGTGGGGACATTGGTGAGGGCGGTGGTGAGGACGGTGGTGGGGACCCAGGAGTCGTTTGCCGGCGGCGAAGGGGGAGGGGTTCGAACCGGTAGTTACCCCTACCGGTTTTCTGGAGGGGTGGGGTGGGTTTCGAACCGGTAGTGACCCCCCCCTGTTTTCCGGAGGGGGGGGATGGGGTTACGGGCGGGGGAGGTTTGCTTGGGGGGGGTTCGAGCACGGGGGGGGAGGGGGGGGGAAATTCCATAGTAAAGCGGCGGTGGATCACGCTCTCTCTCTGATGTCGAGACCTTCGTGGCGTCTCCAGCGCAGGATCGGTGTCGGCCCTCGGGCCCCCCTGCCAGTGCACATTTTTGATGGTTTCAGCGCTGGCTACGCCACAGGGAAGGCAAACAAAACGCATGCCGCATGCCCCGCCTGTTGTGTCTTTGATCCGGGCCCAGGCCTCACAGATGTGGTAATTCGATGGGATTGGAGGATCGTGCCGCATCGGCGATGCGGCTCGATGTGGAGCCCGATCCCACCCACGCAGCATGGCCGATGCATCGCCGAGGTCTCCTATGCATCGGCGATGAAGTGGCGATGCGGCCCGATCCTCCAGCCATCTTCTCGGACCCCCTCCAGGAGGCCTCCATTGGGGTGGAGCAGAGAGCAAACCACAAACGATATCTCCACGTTTGTTCACACAAGCCATCGCTCGCATGGCAGCATTTCGACGTGGCCAGACACTTTAATCCCACTCGTGTGCACGGCTCTCGAAATAGCTTCACGATCGCGCAACTGAGCTTGTCATGGTGCTGCTTTTCCCGCTCCCCCTCCGCCCCTGCGACAAAACGAGCGAGATCTCCACGTCCTGGAGGAGGAGGAGGAGGAGGACGGCGAGGGACGGCGAGGGACGGCGAGGGGGAGGGGGAGGATGGAGGAGGGAGGAGGAGGAGGAGGGAGGAGGAAGACGAGGAAAAGGAGGAGGATGAGGAGGAGGAGGAGGAGGAGGGCGAGCAGGAAGAGAAGAAGGAGGAGAAGGAAGGAGAGTGGGATGATGAGGAGGAGGACAAACTTACCAAGCTCATGCCCGAGACGCCCGAGGCCCAGGCGCCGCTGGGAGGGCGCGAAGTGACGCCCATCGCGCTGGTGCTCGCGCCCACCCGCGAGCTGGCCGTGCAGATCTCCGAGGAGGCCGACAAGGTCCTGCGGCGCTCGGCGGCGGGCGGCCACCCCGGCGGGCTGGGCGCGGTCCTCGGTCGGGACACAAGAGACGGGGGTCACTGCAAATGTGGGGGGCGGCCAAAAGGGAGGGGGATGACTGGGGGGGTGGGTATCGTGGAGTCGGCCACAAATGTCTCCCCAGATTTCATGTTTTTTCTGAATTATTTCGATGCGTCCCTGGCCCCCCCCCCTGGGCCGCACACATGCCGCCAGCCATGATTTGCGCCCCCCCCCCCCCCCCTCTTTGACGCCCCCTGGTTGGACGCCCCCGAAAAGGAGACGAGGTGTCAATGCACACGGGGGTCCGTCAGAGCGCCGGATCTCGCAGGATCCTGCAGAGCCAGGGGTGCATTGACCCATGCTTACGTACAGGATCCTGCAGGATCTTGCAGGATTCTGCAAAGCCCGACTGACGCGGGTCTGGACTGACGGGGGTCAGTAGAATCGGTTGTTGCCTTTCGAAGATTTGTTATCGCTCGGACGTGTGTTTTTTTTTTTCGGCGAGGACCATGGAGGAAAGTCGGGAAGTATGCGCACGACGCCGAGACGGGCACGAAAAATGGTCCGAGCGAAGGCGAGAAGCACAGAGAACGGCATGAGCCTAATGCCTCGGAGGTCTGCGTGGATTCCGTGCATCTGGGCGGGGACCCCCTTTCGCGGCGCCTCCGGCGCCGCCCCTGGCGCGCTCCTCGCGGGAATTCTGGGATCGGCGTTGGGGCCCCCTGGCGGCGCCTCGTCTGCCGCCCCTGGCGCGCTCCGCGCGCCAGGGAGGAGTTGCCCTGATCAGAGTTGTGGAGGAGCACGCAGTGGAAGAAAGGGCCCGGGAAGCCGTCGTACCCCATGGGGGGGAGGACGGAGGGGGAATCGAAGGAGGAGGAGGAGGAGGAGAGGGACAGCGAGGGGGAGGGGGAGGAACGAGAAGGGAGGAGGGGAGGAAGGATGAGGAAGAGGATGATGATAATGATGATGCTGATGATGATGCTGATGCTGATGCTGATGATGCTGATGATGCTGATGATGCTGATGATGCTGATGGTGCTGATGATGCTGATGATGTTGATGATGCTGATGATGCTGATGATGCTGATGATGCTGATGATGCTGATGATGCTGATGATGCTGATGATGCTGATGATGCTGATGATGCTGATGATGCTGATGATGTTGATGATGCTGATGATGCTGATGATGCTGATGCTGATGCAGATGATGATAATGATGATGATGATGATGGTGATGGTGATGGTGATGGTGATGGTGATGGTGATGGTGGTGGTGGTGCTGATGGTGCTGATGATGGTGATGGTGATGGTGGTGATGATGATGATGATGATGATGATGGTGATGGTGATGGTGATGGTGATGGTGATGGTGATGGTGATGGTCAGGGTGATGGTGATGGTGATGGTGATGGTGGTGGTGATGCTGATGATGATGATGATGCTGATGATGCTGATGATGCTGATGATGCTGATGATGCTGATGATGCTGATGATGCTGATGATGTGATGATGTTGATGATGCTGATGATGATGATGATGCTGATGATGCTGATGATGCTGATGCTGATGCTGATGATGATGATGATGATGATGATGATGATGATGACGATGATGATGATGATGGTGATGGTGATGGTGATGGTGATGGTGATGGTGATGGTGATGGTGATGGTGGTGGTGATGCTGATGGTGAAGGTGATGATGGTGATGATGCTGATGATGATGAGGAGGAGGAGGAGAAGGAGGAGGGCGGGCAGAAAGGCCAGAGGCTGGATGTCTCTCGGAGTCTCTTCGGAAGTCTCTGGGGACCTTCGTGGAGTCCTCTTGGCATGTCATGGGGGCCTCCTGGCGGTACGGGGGTCTTCTTGGAACGTCTTGAGTGCCTCGGCGGAGACTCTTGGGACCTCTTGTGCGTCTTTTGGGCGTCTCTTGGGCGTCTCTTGGAAGCCTCTTGGCAGTCTTTTGGGGCCTCCTGGACGCCTCCTGGAGCACTCTTGGGAGCCTTGGGGGCCATCTTGGGGCCATCTTGGAGGAATCCGACCAAAGAACGGCGGGTATTCAGTTAACCTTGCCCACCCAGGAGGCCAACATGGGTCCCAAATTTTAGGGAAATCAATGATTGTTGTCTTTTCGCTGTGGCCTTCTCGGGCGCTCTGACACCTCGCGGCCCCTTTCCTCTGGTCCCAGTTGAGGAGTTGAGGGGTAGGGGGACGGGTAAGCCCCTTCTCGAAGGGGAATGAGGGGCGTTGGAATAGGAAACGCCCCAACCACTCACGCCCTAAGAGTCTGGTGAGATTATGTTTGCACAGTGTTCTGTTCCCCAAGCTAAAGGTGGCTCTTGGTCGGGTCGGGGCGGACAGGGAAAGGGGAGGTTACGAAACTGGCTGTGTGCAGCTGGTTTCGGGGCTGTCGCCTTTTCTCCACACATGGGCCCGAGGAGGCGCCTGGAACATTAGCTACGTGAGATGCCGCCTGGGCCTCGCCGGAAGAGCCATGGCCGCCTCGGGGGCCCGGGGCCGCCGTCAGTCAGCGCCCGAGGTCTGCGTCTACGGCGGCGGCGACAAGCGCCGCCAGCTGGACCAGCTGCGCCGCGCCGCGCACATCCCGGCGGCGCGCCCGAGGGGGCCCTCGCGAGCCGGGGCGGCTTCTCGTCGAAGACGGCGCAGCTGCATAACCATAAGCGCCGCTCGTTGCAAGTAGGTGATCGTTTTCTTATTCATTGTTTTGCCGATCGGCGCGGGCCCTCGACACCCCCCTGGATCTTGGCTGTTTGTTGGCGCCTGTTTCAAGCAGGTGGGGTCTCCTCCATAATGGACGCACTGCTGCAAACAGTTGTGTTCTTGCGCTTCGCGCATCCCCACCAGCCCATCCAAAAACGCTCAGCAGGGGGAGTTGGTAAATAAGGGACGGCTGGTCGCATGCAGTTGCGCGGCCGTCTTCAGAAAATCAATGATCACAAATAGCTTCCCGCATTGAAGTTTCAGATGGAAATCAGTGCAATCTACGACGTGGTGTTCCCCGTGGTAAACGTCTCTAGCGCAGGTGGCTGTATCCACTCTGGGCGATGAGAAACAAGGATCACACATAGATTTCTGCAGCGAAGTGTAAGATGGAAGCCAGTGCAAGATACGCTGGGGTGTTCCTCGAGGTAAGCGTCTCTGGCGCAGGTGACTGTATCTATCATTCGGTGCCTTTGTCGCACAGTTGAGAGTCGCATCCCCACATGCATCCTGGATCTCTGCCCCCGCACTGAAGTTTATCTTTAACTCGCGTGCGGCTGCTGGTGATATTGGTGGTGGTGGCGGTGGTGGTGATGCTGCTGGTGTTGCTGCTTGTGGTGCTCTGTTGCCCTCTTGGGGCCATCCCGAGGTAAGAGGAGAAGGTTGAGGAACACAGAAAAGGAGGAAGGGAAGGATGAGCAGCAGGAACGCGGCGCGAGGAGGAGGAACTGAGGCCCGACCCCCGTTGAGTCCGCCGTAGAATCGGATTTTCTATTGTATGGGTTCCCGAGAGGTTCTGGCGAGAGGTTTTTGGGGAATTCTTGGGGCCATCTTACGGGCTCTCTCGGGCTCCCCGTGGGGCTTTTTGGGGGTCTCTTGAGGCTCTCTTGAGGCTCCCTTGGGGCTCTTTTGGGGCTCTCTTGGGGCTCTTTTGGGAGTCTTGGGGCCCTCTTGGAACTCTTTTGGGGGGTCTGGGAGGTCTCTTGGGGCCGTCCTGGACCCCTTCGCTTAAAAAGAGGGAGTGATAGATTTAGGCCCTCCTCATCGGAGGCCCAGAAGGGGCGTCTTGGGGTCCTCTTTGACTGCTCTTGGGGCACTCTTGGGGCCGTCTTGGAGCCCTCTCGGGCTTCTCTTGGGGCTATGTTGGGCCATCTTGGGAACATCTTGACGCCTCAAGAGCCCACCGGAAGCGAAAAAACGAAAAGGCAAACAACATTGATTTCCCATAGGTTTTGAACCCATTTTGACCTTGTGGGGGAATCCTTGGAGGGCTCGGAGGGCACTTGAAACCGTCTTGCGGCCATCTTGAGGCCTCTTGGATGTGTGTTGGAGGCTATCTTGAGCCGTCTTGAGGTATCTTGGGCGATCTTGGAGGCCATCTTGGGCTAGCTAAAGCCCTCTTGAAGCTATCTAGGGCCATCTTGGACGCTCTAACCCCTCGCGGGGGAGCTAGTCCAGACCCAAGGAGGGGGGGGAGGTAAACCTCCCGAGCAGGGAGGTTAGAAAAGGAAACGCTCTAGACCACCTGCGCCCAGAGGGCTGGTGGGATCAAGCAGAGGTCCCGAGCCAGACCCCCTCCTCGCCCCCCTCCGCCCAATGTCGAGTCGTCGAAAAAGAAAACGCTCACTGGGTATTTTGGATCCCCAGATCCCAATCTACTTCCAGCGCCGTTCCATTTCAAACATCGAGATGCGCTTCTGCTGTGTTTTTTGTTGTTCTCTGGTGCGGGCCTGGGACCCAAATATACTTGATCCGCTTTCCCCCTCCGTGCTTTCATCCACTGCTTCTTCCGACCGACGCGTACACCTTCGCAGCTCCGCGCGGGCTTCTGGGACCGGCGCTGGGCCCGCCCCCTGGCGGCGCCTCGTTTGCCGCCCTTGGCGCGCTCCGCGCGCCAGGGAGGGGAGTCCCAGCGCCGATCCGACAAATCAGCGCAGACCTCCAAGGAATCATCTGGAGTCTTCGAGAAACCCCGCCAGCCCATGCAGAGACGATGCCCAGCCGAGTTGCCCTGATCAGAGTTTGTGTTTGCGCAGGCGGGGGGAGGGGCGTCGGGCCCAGAAGCGTATCAGTCTTTTGAGAGGGCCCCTTGGAACCCGGGAGAGCTAGACACCCCAGCTCCCCGTTCAGAAGCTCCCATGCAGTCAAGACGCTGGAGCACGGACCATTTGGGGCTCAGGAGGGGCTCCGTCGGGGAAGGTACTTGTGCCCGAGGCTCTCCGCGGCCAGAAAAGCCCCTCCGTTCCCCAGTCAGTATTCCCCAAGGTACGAGCCCCCCCCATCTCGCAGAGCGGTCCCCTTTTCGCGGTGCCCCCTCGTGTTCGCCGCCAGACATCGTGGCAGCCACTCCCGGCAGGCTGATAGATGGAGCAGGCTGTCGCCACTTCCGCTGGGCGCCTCGGTCTCCATCGATCGTGGTGTGGGTGTGTAGGTGTGTGTGTGTGTGTCTGTCTGTCTCCGGTCGTGCACCCTGTTGTTTTTTTGTTGTCTTTTCGTTTACATTGTCAACTGCCTGTTGGTCGGCCCGCATCGTCGCACGTTCGGTGGTGTTCTGCTTGGCACATCCCGCCAGTGCCCTCGCCAAGTTGGACCAGCTGGCCGCGAAGCAAGAGTGTTTGAGTTTGTGTGTGTGTGTGCCTCCCTGCCCTTGTGGTCGCTTTTCATCGTGTACCTGTTCGGTGCCCCCCGGGCAAGCCCCCGGCTCTCGCTCGAAGCTTCCCTCCTCCTCACGCCAATGCGTGGGGCCCGCCAGTGCTCTTGCCGGCGCTTGGCCGGCTCCCACCGTTGCCGCCTTTTCTGAGTAGGCCCTGTCACAGCAGGCTGGTCTTGCCGCCCGCTCGTGACCTCTGGGCCGCCCCTCCCGCCCGCCTTGGGGTGCCCTGACCCGCCGTTGCATCCTGCCTCTTGGGGCGCCAGCCTTCTGGCTGTGGCACCCTTCTGGCCCTTGCCGTGCTTCGCCAGCACCGGCTACCTGTGTCTGGCCGTTGTTGCCCTTTTGGCACCTCGCCGCTGTCGGGTACTGCCCAGTTGGCTCTCTGCGGCAGGGCCCACCTGTTCGCCCACTTGGCTCGCCCCCCCCCCGCTGGGCGTGGCCTTCCTGCCCGCCGCCGGCTGGCGTTTGTTGCCGTCGCCCCTTCCCATCGTTCTGCCTGCTCTGGGCCCGCCGCATCCCCCACTTGGCGGTGCCCTGCTCCTTCTTTGCCCTGGCTGCCGCACCGTTGCGCCCCGCCGGGTCGTCCCTCATTCCGCGGCTGAATTCCTAGGTCTGCTTGGTCTCGCCGCTCCCCATCTTGGTTCATGCTGAGCCCTCTTGGAGGCCATTTGGAGCATCGGAGGCCTCTTGGAGCCTCGTGGAGCCAAATTGGAGCATCGGACCCCCCCTAAAAATTGCTTCAGGGAGGGGAGGGGGATTTTTCCCCTTCCCGAGTGGGAAGAGGATCTTAGAAGAAGGAATAAGGGCATCGTTAGACCACCTACGCCCAAAGGGACGGTGGGATTAAATGGGCAATCGGATGCCTCTCCTCGTCCCGCTGTGTCATGTATCTGGAGTTCCTTCGTGTGCCCGTTTGGATCTTGCGCTTTCCTGGAGGTATGATGGGCATTGGGGCCGTTTCAAGGGAACAGGGCCATTCGTCCCCCCCCCTTCCCCCCTTCGGGTGAGCTCGTGACCTCCACCAGCTGTTCAAAGCCTCGAGACTTCGATGTTGGGCCTCGCGTGGGGGATTATGGGCAAGACGCTGGAGAAAGCGCCACTTCGGGCCCATGAGGGGTTCTGGCTTTCGGCCGTTCTAGACCAAGGCCAGGGGGCCGACCCATGCGTGGCCAGGATTCGCCGTGGCCAGAAGAGCCCCTTGGTTCCTTGTTCCGCGCCCTTGTTGGTAGCACGACGGCCGTCCCTCGAGGGCTGTGTTGAAGGAGAGGAGGGCTCCCGCACGCCACGGGCCCCGACTGGTGGCCTCAGCAGGGGCCAACGGACTTCGTCAAGGCGGGCTCCATTTCCCTGAGGCGCGTCACCTACCTCGTGCTGGACGAAGCAGACAGGATTCGGGGAATAGGTGAAGGCATACAGTCGGGGCGCTGAAGAAGGAACCCTTTTCGTTGGGGAGGGGCTCGTTGATTTTGTTTCAGTTTGCCTTGGGTGTTCCTGGTTTCCCATGGGAAAATCGAAGCTTAACTTATGGGAAGAAGGGGCCTGGTGCCTCGTTCCTTCTTCACGGTTCCGTAGGTCAACGCCCCAATTGTAAACATGATTTTCCAGAGGTCCGCGCGGATTTTTCGCTTCGGCGTTGGAGCCTCCCGGCGCCGAGGGGGGGGCCCAGCGCCGATCCAAGAAATCAGCGCGGCCCCCCGACAGTTGTGCTTATGCCTTTGCTTGTTCCTCGAAGGATGCTGGAGTACGGCTTCCAGGACGACGTGGGCGGGATCTCGGGTCAGATACGGCCCGACCGCCAGGTGCGCGTCGCAGAACAACGGGGTCGTCTACGCCGACATATGTGCGTAATTTACCCGCGTAAGGCCGCGCGTAAGCGCCCTCGGCGTGCCGCGCCGGCGGCCCGCGTAAGCCACCGCTTAAGGTCGCTATGTCATCGCGTAAGACCCTCTACGAAGTGGGGGGTTTCGGCGATTCAAGCAGATGATTTCCTCGACGATCTATCTATTTAATCGCTTCGCTCATTCCGCTGGCCCTCGAGCGCTCTATGGGGCCTCTTAGAAGCCTCTTGGGGGCCTCTTTGGGGCCTCCTAGGGGCCTCTAGGGGGCCTCTTGGGGGTCTCTTGGGGCTCCTTGGCGGCGTCTTGGGGCCCCCTTGGGCCTCTTTGGGGGCTCTTGAGGGCCTCTCGGGGCGGGGGTCGGGGTACTTCTCGCCGGGGGACCCCAGGGGCCGCCCCGCGCGCGCGAATTAGAAGAATTGTTAACCAGTTGCCGGAGATCTTGGCACGCCTCTGGCCCGTTGGGCCGGCGAATTCAATGGCTTTCGATTCATGAGGACTTTCCTGCACAAACAAAGTGGTGTCTAGATCCTGTCACAAGTCAGCTTGTGGCTAAAATTGTTTGAGCCAAAATGGCGGCGGTAAGCGAGCGTTTTTATACCTCCCCGGCGTAACGCTCGTTGCCCAGGCCGCCCCCCTACATGTTGGGAGCGGACCACCTGTAGGTATGGCGCTGCGGTCACAGGCGTGGCGTGGTCTGAACGGCACGCATTGGTGCTCACTGACGTGTTGTGGCGCTCGCAGGTTCCCCACCTGTTGCGGCGCCGAGCCCACAGGAATGGCGTGGTGTTGAATACATGTTTGGTTGTTCACATGCGCGTTGTGGCGCTTGCAGGCTATTGAGGTGCGCGTAGGTCAGGCGGACTTAGCGCTCGGTTGTAGTTCGATGCAGTTAACGCGCCTAATAAGGACGCGCGCCTTCTCCAGGGTACCCTGGTGTCCTTGACTCTGCGGCCTGTCCTTTGCCGCTATCATTGGCCAGCCTTTGCAAAGAAATCCCAACTTCGGCTTCCAAAGGTCGTGCGTTCTTGCCACCCGTCCTCAGTGCACGTATTGACTGTAGACCCAGCGTCATGGAGAAGATGAAACTTGGGCGGCCCCGCGCCTTTCCCGCAGGCGCAGTGATTCACGCAGGCAGCGTGGTGCACACTGGCGCTGTGTTGCATACTGCTGTTGCGGTGTGCAAAGGCGCTGTGGTGGTGTACGCAATCGCTGTGGTGCACGCAGGCACTGTGATGTACACCGACGCTGTGTTGCACGCGGCTGCTGTGGTGTTCACAGGCGTTGTGGTGTGCGCTGGCGTTGTGGCGCACGCATGTATAATCCTCGGGCGCTCCACTTTCCATAGAAGATTGATGTTATGTGGACTCCAGAGGCGCTCCACGTTCCATAAGACTTCCTTCTAATAGCTCTATTATAGACAGGGGCGCTTCACTTGTCACGGAGATGTCTTTCAAAATCTTATAGTCCATGTTTGTTTTCTGTGGGGTCCTGAGGTGATCCAGTTTCACGGTGCTGGCGTTCTGGCACACGCAGGCGCTGCGGTGAACACAGGCGTTGTTGCGCACACGGCTGCTGCAGTGAACACAGGCACTGCGGTTTGCATAGGCGACGTGGTGTTGCAGTGCACGCGGCTGTTGTGGTGTACGGAGGCATTGCGAGGTGTACACAGGTGGCGCTGTGTTGCTTGCATGCATTTGGCATTATCGTGTACACAGGGAATGCGGTGCACACAGGCGGTTGATGCGCCAGTGTCGCGGACGCACCCTGGCGGGCGCACGCCGCGTCCGCCGTTACAGTTACCCTCCCGCCCGAACCGCCTCCCCCCCGGGTAACGGCCGTTACCCGGGAAAGGAAAGAAACAGTCATTAATCCAAGCAGAAGCATCTACATAAACATAAAGGTTCGACGGTCCGCGCGGATTTCTTGGATCGGCGCTGTTCCCCCTGGCGGCGCCTCCGGCGCCGCCCACGGGTCGCTCCGCGCGCCAGGGAGGGGGCTCCAGCGCGGCTCCAAAAAATCCACGAGGAGCTCCGAATGTTTATGTTCATGTAGTTTTTCCGGACAGTCGGACCGAAGCATAAGACCCAGGTTGGTTCGAGGAGGGTACCCTAGTGTTCTTCGTGCTTGTAAGATGTTCTTGTGCATCCTTGGGAAGGGTACCGTCGGTTATCTTATGATTGAAGGTGCTTTGGCCAACGGAGGGTCTCCTGGTCTTGAAGGATGTCCTTGTGGCCTGGAGTGGATTGTCTTCTGCAGGTAACGCCCGCTCTTCCTCGCCGCCCAGGTGCGTAATCTGCCCGCGTACGGTCGCGCGTAAGTGCCCCTCGTTTCCAGTGCAGCGTGCCAGGTGGGTGGCCCGCGTAAGATGCGGCGTAGGGTCGCTGTCAGTCAGTTCGCGTAAGACCCGTTTCTGATCGTCGCTCGTGTAGCTCCTCCTTACTCTATAGGTAACACCCAGGCGCTCTCCTTCCTCATTCCCGCCGCCCCAGGTGCTTTTCTTCTCCGCGACCTGGGGCTCCGCCGTCCAGCAGCTCGCGAGAGGCATCTGCCGCCCCGGCGCCGGGCCCACGCGCATTTCTTGTGGGCGGCGGCAGGAGGAGGGCGGCGGCGGCGGCGGTGAGCCTCAGCAGCTCGCCCGGGAGAGCATCGACCAGCAGGCGGCTCTCCCTCTCGAAGAAGGGAACACTGCATAAACATAGACTCTCCACGGTCCGCGCGAAGTTTTTTGATCGGCGATGGTCGCCCCTGGCGCGTCTCCGGCGCCGCCGCTGGCGCGTCTCCGGCGCCGCCGCTGGCGCGCTCCGCGCGCCAGGGAGGGGGGTCCAGCGCGGATCCAAGAAGTCCGCGCGGACCGTCGAAAGTGTATGTTTATGTATTATTGTTCTTCTCTATCCTCCTCTCCCTCTTACACTGGGACGTGCGAGTTTACTTGGCGACTGACAGCGCTTAGGCACAGGAGTTGGGGTCCGTGTCTCGGCCGCATGCGCAGCACAGCCTTGATACTTTGCCGTGGCTACGCCTGCTTAAATTACTCTGCATTGGCCATGGTCTCGCGTGTTGGCTCGTTTATTGCAGGTTGGCCTTCCAGGTGATTCCAGGTTGGGCACTCATGGTGTGCTTGCGAGGGAAAAATGAACCAGAAGGTGGTGGTCATCGACCACGCTGGGGACTGGGAGAAGCAGGCCGCGGAGAAGAGGAGGCTGCTGGAGGAGCACCTGCGGAATGTGCTCGGTGCCTCGGAGGACCGTGCGGCATCGAACAGGGGGGTTGGGGGATCAAGCGGGAGAAGAGGGGGGGAGGAGTTCATGACGGGGACCGCGAGCCTCCGAGATCTCGCAGCCCTCTTCTTCTGCTCCTCCCTGAAGCACATGTCCTGGTCCCACCTCGTGCGCGCGCACGGCGTCGGACCACGGTGCGCCGACCCCGCCCCGCTTCATTGGGCTGTCTCCGAGGCGGGGATTGACGATCTCCGGTGATCCCGGCGGGCGGTGCCCCTGGATATATGTATATACACATACATACACACATATATATATATATATATATATATATATATATATTGGTACCCGAGGGAATCCCCAATACTAATATGTTTAAGGCTATGGGGCTACAGGGCTATAGGGCCATAGAGCTATAGGTCTACAGGGCTATAGGGCTGAAAGGCCTATAGGGCCATACGCCTATAGGGCTCTGGGGCCATAGGGCTATAGGTCTATATGGCTATGGAGCTATAGGGCTATAGGACCTTGGGGCCAAAGGGCTATAGGGCTAAAGGGTTATAGGCATATCGAGCTATAGGGCTATAAGGCTATGAGGCTACAGGACTATAGTTCTATGGGGCGATTTGGCTACAGGGCTGTGGAGCTATAGGGCTACAGGGCCATATGGTTGTATGGGCGTAGGCCTATAGGGCTATGGGGCTATAGGGCTACAGGGCGACAGGGCCATAGGGCTACAGGCATATAGGGCTATGGGGCTATATGACCATAAGGCGATAGGGCTATTGGGCTACAGGGCCATAGGGTTGTATGGGCGTAGGCCTATAGGGCTATGGGGCTATAGGGCTACAGGGCGACAGGGCCATAGGGCTACAGGCATATAGGGCTATGGGGCTTTGGGGCTATATGACCATAAGGCGATAGGGCTATGATGCTGTAAGGCTAGAGGGCTATAAGGCGATTTGGCTATAGGGCTATCTAGCTTTAAGGCTATGGGGCGATAGACTATATGGCTATATGGTTATAGGGCCATAAGGCTGTAGGGCTATAGGGCTATACGGCTATAGGGCTATAAGGCTATGTGGCTACAGAGCTATAGGGCTATTGGGCTATGGGGCTACAGGGCTATAGGGCTATGGAGGTATAGGGCTACAGGGCTACAGGGATACAAGGCACCCGAGCACCCAGGCACCCGGGCACCGAGGCTCCTGGGCACCTGGGCACCCGGGCACCCAGGCAGGCCGCTGAAATCGGTGGCACATCTCATCTAACCAAATGAATCCGCTAGGACCCCT